AAGCAAGATTCCCCGATACAACAAAACATGCATCAATCAAATCAAACTTGATGGACAAGATTTGGAAGACGTAAAAACCGTTAAATATCTGGGCAGCATCATTGATGAACACGGTAGATGTGATGCAGATGTGAATGCGTGGATCGGTAAAGCAAGAGCAACATATCGACAATTGGATAACATCTCGAACTCAAAACAACTGTCTGTCAACCAACATCAAGATCAGGATTTTCAATACAAATGTCATGACAGTACTACTACGAAAGCCATCATCCACAAGATACAAGTGTTTATTAACAATTAGCTATGCAAAATACTTTGGATCCGTTAGCCAGACAATATCCGCAACAACCTAGTGTGGGAGAGAACAAACAAGATTCCAGTGGAGGAAGAAATCAGGAAGCGCTGGAAGTGGATAGGACACACATTGAGGAAAGCACCCAACTGCATCACAATAAAAGCTCTGACTTGGAATCCTCAAGGACAAAGGTGAAGTGGAAGACCAAAGAATACATTACACTGAGAAATGGAGACAGACATGAGAAGAATGAACAATATTTGTATAGAATTAGAAAGGAAGGTCCAGGATAGAGTGTGTTGGAGAATGCTGATCGGTAGCCTATGCTCGATTAGGGTGATGAACCAAAAGAATGATCATCATGTTTGCAGCATGTTTTTAAGTAAACTGTTAGTTAATCACCATAAAAGTTTGAATTTCATTGAAACAGTTGATGGTGGCTAGCATTGGAATTCAAGAAGTGAGTCCCGTCCCATGTAGGACTTGTCATCTGGATGTACCCGCATCACGGACTTGGTGTTCATTTCAGGACTCGAACCCACTACCGTTCACTTCGAAAACCATTATATTATCCACTTAGCTACTTAGTCCAAATAGCCCGTTAGCTTTTACATTGGGGTGAATTTTAATTTATTACTGACCCAAAGAGGACGGAATGTGCGTCCTGGATTCCACTACTAGCCACCATCCATCTCTCCTTGTGAATTAAAGCAATATCGAGGAAATCCGCACAGGATACCAAAAATAGACTTATCAATTTCAGTCCTAACCATCAATGAGAAGATTCAAATAAGCAATATAAAAAAAATAAATCATAAATTTCGTCATTGTATTTCAACCAAATAACTGTTGTGACTTTAAACCCAGCTTATTATCATGTGATTTATTGGTCAATCTTAGTACTATGCCAAATCAATGACGTTCGACCGGCATGAACAGCCTAGTTTCCTTATTCGTCCTTTGTTCACCTAGCTCGTCCAGTTGAGTCCAGAATACTAATAACAGATCCCACTAGGCGAATCATTTATTTCAAAAATACTTGGTTTATATACCAACCAAACAGACCTCATCACACCATAAATTAGGAAATAACATTTATACATGATCAAGCCAAAATGTAGCTGTGAATGTGAGAGACTGTAATCAATAAACTTGATATAACTTAAGAATGGTAAATCGTATAGTAACGATTGGCTGATAGATTGACTGATGAGTTGTTGTTATTGTTGGGACTTTTTCATTAAATCACATTAATATTACTTATTGATGAGTAAATATACACTGAGAAAACAGTAGTTAGTTGTATTCACTTGATATTGTTTTACTTGAATCTTCCCATTGATGTTTTTGGACTGAAATTGATCAATCTCTTATTGGCACATGTGCAAACTGTGCGTATGCCTCGATATTGCCTTAATTTACAAGCATTATAAGCAAAGATGGATAGTGGCTAGCAGTGGAATCCAGGACGCGCGTTTCGTCCTGTTTGGGACTCGTCAGCTGGATGTACCTGGCATCTCAGAGTTGATGTTCACTCTGGGACTCGAACTCAGTACCGTTCGCTTCAAACGCCATCGCGTTATCTACTTAGCTACTGAGTCCTGATCTTCTAGTTGTTATTTAGGACTGCGATTGATCAGTCTCATGTTGAGATCCTTTGCGGATTGCCTTAATATACCCTTAAGTCACAAGCTTCACCCCATTACACAAGCAGGTGGCTATCAGGACTTAGTAGATAAGTAGATAACGCGATGATGTTTAAAGCGAATGGTACTGGGTTCGAGTCCCGGAGTGAACATCAACTCTAAGATGCCAGGTACATCCAGCTGACGAGTCCCAAACAGGACGAAACGCGCGTCCTGGATTCCGCTGCTAGCCACTATCCATCTTTGCTTATAGTAGTTAGTTGTGTTAATTGTAAATCATTTGATAATTGAGTTGAATATAAATAAGTTATATGTATATATGTATAATATGGCCTTTTTCATAAGTTCAAATGATATTAGTGACTCTGCTTCGTTAACCAATCACTCTCGTAACCTTTATTATATAAACCTCAATGGTGTTTAAAATCAGAATGCAAAAAGAAGCAGCAACTACAGTTTATTAACGGATAGAACAGATCACAAAGCTATAAGGCACATCAAGGAAATTTGAAGAGGAGAGTATGTGCGAGCAATTGCATAGGAAAATTTATAGTCAAATTGCATAAAAGCACAGCAAGGCAAAAAAAAGGACTAATAATAGTATTTGAGCACAAAAGTACATGGGGAGGAGGATGAATCACTGAGTGGTATTTAATCAATCAATACTTTGGCTAGAGTCTATCATATGATCTAGTGAACATAACAGTACAAATAAATACGAGAATTGTTACTATTTCAATGACATTGTCTGTTAAGTAAGTCAATCAAAAGGGCTTAACCAAAATTAAGCATAATCGAAATTGGTTATAGGATAGAGTAAAGTATTTCATAATAAATTCTTATACATGTAAAATTATAAATAACAATAATTTAATGGGACCAATAATTCAAAAACATCACTGAATTACGCCCGTTACCCCTCGTGGAGGAGTATAGGCCGCCTACCAGTACTCTCTATCCAACCCTATCCTGGGCAATCTTTTCCAGTTGCTATTCGTCACTTTTCATGTCTGCTTCCAATTCGTGACATAATGTGTTCTACGTCGGAGTCTAGGTCAATTCAAAAATTCCATTTATAAATATTTAATTTGTGATACATACATTAGAACTACACAGAGAATGGTACATATTCGTATTCCTGATGACGTTCTATATATAAATTGAAACTTAGAGATGTATTAACTCTAAATTGGGTAATAACTCTGTATTTTCCAAATTACGATCATCGGAAAAAACAACACAACTTCTCTTTAGTTTATCATAGCGATAACAATCACAAGACTCAAAACCAAATTAATCTGTAATAGAAATAGACAATAATCAACTTATCACTACTACCTTGTTTAATTCATTACTTTAACTAATATAACTTGCAATTATCACTTTGTGATGTAATCATTATTACTATTTTTTATCGTATTGGTTTTGTTACTGAATCCTCAGTAAATTAATTGGTATTCTATATACACTAAGTTATTCTTTCATTCACCTGTTCAACACTCATCTGATTCTTAAAAATTTTGTAAAGTATTTAAATCGTTTATGTTTACTATCAGTCAGTCAGTCAGTAAAAACGTAGAACTTCGTACGTACGTACATCAGTTCGAGTTGCCACACCACGTTAGCACAGAGATTCAGTTGTCGATTCAAACCCCGTAGTGGTAGAGGCGGTAAGAGTATAAGTAGTAATCGGAAAGATTAGGGTCTGAAGATGTTATTCAACGAGTATAATCCAGTGAAATAAATTTGAAAAGAGGAAAAAAGAGACAGTAAGGACTCAGGAGATTAGAATTTGGGAGAACACAAAGAGTGGGTGAATTATGTTTATTATGTAATCCATTGTATCAATAACCGCTCCATTGTTCTAAATCTGCTATATATATTTCAAGTGATCTTCAACTGGTTTATCTTTCATTTTCTTCATTTGTTTGTTTTTAAATCTTTGCGTTGTCAGTATTAAGGTCTGAATTTCGACCAATCTCTTCTTAAACATATTCATCCTCAGAAGACTGCGTTGATATACATGTTAAGTTACAAGTGTTTTAAGTGAAAATGAACAGTGAATAACAGTGTAATCCAGGCTCTCGTATAGCCCTATATGCAACTCATCTAGTGGATACCGCTGTATCCTAGTATTAATGTTCACTTAACAACTGGAAGATTCCAAAACTTACCAATAAAAATAATAAAATGTATTCCCGTTGCAAACTCTAGTGTCTAGTTGAACTTAACAGTTTAATCGATAATTCATTGGACATTTAAAATGTAAGGTGCTGAGTTCACGTCTTGATGTGAACATAAACAATGTGATGTTTTAGATTCATCCAGCTAATGTGTTGTTTATGAGATAAAACTTGCTTCTTGGATTTTAATGCTAGCTGTTATCAGTATCGAAAACCTAGAATTACTGGACAACCGTTTCGTCCTAATATGGTACTCCTCAACAGTGTCCATATACACGGTCGTCCAGTATTTCTAGGTTTTCAATAGTGGTCTAGATTAGATTAACTAAGGAATTCAACTGTTAAGATTATTTCAATCCCCTTGATTCCTACGTAATCTCATATGTTATTTAGTCTTAAATTCATTCATGAAGTAACCTTTTCTATCCTCCAATAGACCTATGTTTTCCAGAAAAACAATCACTGATATATGTCAGTCAGTCAGTTACATGCATCGGTTCAAGTTGCCACATCTCATTAGCACAGCAAGACGAACACCGGATTCATAGAAGCAGTTAATTCAGTGGTGTAATATATAAAGGAAAGATTGCATATAAGGATATAGAACAGGAAGAAAGAATTAGTTCATAGAAAAAAAGATTTGAGATCATTTTAGTTTCATAGTTTAAGGGAAAACAGAGAGTGTATACAGCTACACCATTTTGATCGATTCTGAGACATGTCGCCCACAGTCTCCAACCATTGGTTACGATAGTCACTCGAACCCCAACCAAGTAATCTGCATCTATCAACATGGCTCAGAATATATATACACATATATATATAATTAATAACTAATATATTCCTATTTACTTTCTTTCATTTACTTAATAGAAGCAAATCCTGAAAAATTCAATAGTCGTTTAAAAAATAAATTATTTTACGCTGGAGTAAGTTCAATATATGATGTTACTGCATAATTCTATTTTGAAATTTTATATATTATTTTGCTTACATTTATACTACACAATTCAATGAGATTGAAAGGGATAAACAATTGTTCTAAATTGACATTCGTATAATAATGTTCATCTTATATTTACAGCTTAGATTCTTGATATACTATGTACCGCCCCCAGGTGGGCTCGAACCACCAACCTTTCGGTTAACAGCTGAACGCGCTAACCGGTTGCGCCATGGAGGCCCATCTTGTATCAATATTTATGTGTTCAAATAAATGTAAATAAAAAATACTATGTACAACTTGAACAGTCGAATGTTAGAACCCTCCAACTTTCATATATGGTACAAAACTATCAGGTATTTATAGTTTTTAGTAAAAACAAAATTATCACTATAATCATCCAATCCGCATACAAGGGGAGATTATAGCATTTGCCCATTAGGGAAAATTATACGTACAGATTCTGGAATTTTCTTCCAAAAGATGCTTGGATAGAATATTTTCAGTTCTTTATGAGCTTCTTACAGCTTCCTCGATTTCACCAATTGGCCATTCTCACAATTCAGTTAATTAAAGTATCTTAATCAGAAATGCTGTAACATAGTATAATTGAATAAATGTGATCATAGATGACGTATGATACTAGTTCATTAACATATTGAAAGTTTTTATATGTGAAAATTATATTTGAAATAATCTCAGCGATTGAAATTTAACTAATTCCAACGTTTCGTCCAGCTAACTTGTCTGGACGAAACGTTGGAATTAGTTAAATTTCAATCGCTGAGATTATTTCAAATATAATTTTCACATATAATGACTTCTATATACTCGGCGCTCAATTACTATCAAACTATTCGTTCTAATCTTGACGAATATTCGTATATATATTGAAAGTTTATTCCAATATAGCGTTATGTTAAAAACAACTATTTTGTTATTTGACAAAGAATCGGCGAAACAGCTATTCAGTGCTTCCAGGTTTTCCATGGTCATCTAGCTTCAATTAATTCATGATCTCAACTATTAAAAAGAAATATTTGTTTGTTTTTATTTTCGTAAACTTAAATGTATTTCTTATGTACCAGTCGGTGTTGATAACAACAAGACTAGGTTTATTTTAACTTAGGAATTCTCAAAGTACTCCAGGATAATCATGTTCATAATTAATTTAGTAAAATGTTATTATGTAATGTTTCAATCCACAGTTTTATTCTTAATTCTTAATCTCTTCATATGATCATCTTCGTATACTTCAAAAGAAATCAACCTGAGATTAATTAATTAATTTTAACTTTGTTTCACTGTCAAAAGTTAAACACGGATATGTGTCTGCCAGATGGTTGATTTAAGTAGAGTTTTGTTCTCTGAGCTGGATAGTATGATCATAGAGCTTTCATTATTCTTCTGAACAACGTCATTAACACAAACTCCAGGTAGAAATGAAGTGTTCCAGTCTCTTTACATATGACTCATACATTGTTTTGTCGACCTCGATCATGATTGGTTATTGTCGACCTTTAACCTTTCATTGTCTACCTCTTCATCTTGATTGTGTCTTCACCCGAAAGTTAAATGCATTTCAACCGTTTCACATAATCAAATCACTTAGTTTCTAATTATGTATCAGCGCACTAAAAAAATATGTCCTGACCAAAGCCAGAGGTTGAACCTAACAATTTCAAACAAACTGAACATCGGGTGGAAAGCTAATAATAAATATATATTTTTGTCATATCTAAATAAGTAGAAAATTGTATCTCTGATGTTTCGCGATTTAATGTAAGTCACTTCTTCAGAGTTAATAAATAACCAAATTAAATTAACACAAGTTTAAATAGTACAGTTCCTTTGTTATAATAAAAAAATATATTTATTATCATTCCCAACCAAAGTACAGTGTTTATTACTTTTTCTTCTTGTCATCATTATTATTTCTAAACGTTGTCATTGTCTAGGATTTCAATGGATCCTTTATTTTAACTTGATAGGAAAAGATACACATAACATACAAACTAAAATCGATTCATCCAACATTCTGTAGATGCTTTGGAAGAAGTAACATAGCTGTTTTTCTAAATAAATAACTCAGTTTCTAACAGTGCTGGTCATAGATAACAGAAACTTTGTATAGCCCAAACAGCTGGTTGATATTTTAAATTGTGATTAAGTGCGATCCTAGTTCATATACTATAGATTTTATCAGTTATCATAAAGATCAGTGCCAGACATTATTGACGAGTACTAAATGATAAAGATTACCTGTCGGCTAATTTCGATCACTTAATAAAGAGCCCTAAATTTTTCGCAGTTTCAATATAATCTTCAAAGTGTAGTTAAGCTAAGATGATTTGTCTCAGTATTGAGTGCTTTTAGAGGTATGAGGGCGGTTATCACGTCCCGGTTACCTGAAAAGGAAATTGGGTTAGAGGTAGTGTTGGTGACCTGAAAGCTTGACCTCTGTGCTAAAGGGACAACTACTTGAGGCCTTTTGTGGGTAATTTTTGTTTTAGCTCGTACTTGTTGGGACCTTACCGCGGGAGACGGAAATCCGTGGGATAAGTCGGGGAGTGTATTTTTAGGGTCAACCTTTTCTAACCCCACCCTTCTTTTGTTGGAAGGCAGTATTTCTGTGATGCTGGTTGTGTGAAGAAAACACCTTAATGCCATTAAACCTTTGTATAGTCAGCAGCACAACTTTTCCCTCGGACCTTGGTTTGCTTTCTTTTAGTCTTACCGTTCTTCAACCAATCTACCTGGCATTGTATGACCTTGAGAAACAATTATCCCAGGTAGTATTTGTTATATCCTAGTGAAGATTAAATTACGGGTATCCTCGGAGACCCTTTTAATGGACCAATATTCTATAAATATTCTTATTGTATAACTATTCAGTAACTGGATTATGTATATCTATATCCCTCTTATTATAAGGTTCATTCTGACCTATAGATTATTATTGTACGATTTACTGTTCTTAAGCTATGTTCAGTTTATTGACTACTGCCTCCCACGTTCTTAGCCATATTTGGTCATATTTTGTACGGGTGTTATTTTCTATTTTATGGTGCGTTGTGGTCTCTTTGATTGACATATAAACCCAGCATGTCTGAGACAAAAGGATTCGCATAGTCAAGGCTGTTATTGGCATTCTGGACTCAACTGGACGGGTTAGGCGAGCACAGGACCAATAGGAGGCTAGTCTGATCAGACCAGTAGGGCATCATTAGTTTAGTACAGTACACAAGCGAATAAGTCATATTTTGATTGGCGAATAGATTATGTGATAACTAGCGGGTTATAAAGTCACAAATAGTATGATTGGATTAGTTCATCACGATAAGCAAGTCAAACTAACATTTCAACAATAACAGTAACAGTCGAAGCTATCTACAACTGGTTTTTATTTTGTAAGCTCATTATTATTCAAGAAAACTTTTAAAACACATCAATGTGTAACTTCAAATTGAAATACTTTACTCATTCCATAATAACTTAGTAATTGTCTGAAATTTACTCGAAAATATGAATGATACACATCTGTTGTATACCTACATCATTGCGAATATTAATTCGTTAATTGAATAAATCATATCCAGTATGAACATATTGTAAATCAAACCTACCGGAGTCTTCATTAATGTTTTTTTCTTCTTTTTTCTTTTCATCTAAAATGAAGAGGAAAAGAGATTATTTAAATATTTATCAGCATAGCGGTTGTGTAGATTATTAAGTTTTTGATTGAGATCATGAAACGATTGATGTTAGACCAGCATTGAAAGCCTGGAAACACTGGATGACCTTTTCGTTCTATTATGGGATTCTTCCTTGGCAGTGCTCATCCACAATCCCTCTCGCGGGATTTAAACCCAAGTCTTCCAGCCTCACGCGCGAACGCTTAACCTACTGAACCACTGAGCCACAATAGAACGAAACGGGCGTCCAGTGCTTCCAGGTTTTCAATGGTGGTCTAAAATCAATCGATTCATGGTTTCAATCAAAAAAATATTAAAATATTAATTTTTTGTTTACATGATTTTTTTAGCTTGGTGGTAAAGATCTACTTCGACGAAGTTGGCGTGATCTATCGGAACATATTACACTTATTGTAAGTTTATAGTTAATGTTAGTTTAATTGACATTATTATTACTTTTAAAGAAGAATTTTGGTAGGACTATTAATTATGGATGACCATTTGAGCGACACTTAAGTGACCTTGAGAGTGTTCACCTAGTAACTAGGACTAAATGATGGTTGAAAACAAATGTGATGAATTAGAATTACGATTTACAGTTGATAGTTAAGGTAAGGAATTAGATTTAGGTTTTTTATCATGAACTGATATCAGCTATAATGCTGAAACTTTATTTAATCAAATGGATGAGTGAATTTTGCGCCAAAAATTTGAGACGTATAATGTTGTGTCTGATTGGTTCGGCCATAAATTGTAGGTTCTCCATAATCTTCATTGGAATACTAGTAAATGAGTATAATTACTGGTGTATTAATAAGAAGAGACTTATTAAATGAAGTTCAACGGATTAAGAGGTACACATAAGGACTTGTGTATATTTAATTTTGATAGTCTAGACGGAACGGAATCAGTCTTCTTTGAGAATATAGGCTTCTTCAGTGTATGCCTTCATATATTACAGGTAGTTGCTTGTTTAACCATAGAATATACGTAAAACTGTTTGACAAATTCCGAATAAAATGAGATGTACCCTATGGATTCCACTGCTAATAGTTATATAAAGTTTATTTTAGAGTTATCGGTGTTTACATATGAAATATAATAATGATATCATGAACTGACTTCAGTTATATCTATTAGTAACAAGAAAGTACTGAACAACTGTCTAATCTTAGAACAGGACTTGTTAACAATGCGCATCTACGACTACACCACGCGATCGGACACAGGAACTTTGGTCTCGTGAGCAAATGCCTAACCTTTAGATCGCCGAACCATCGTGCAATAGTTTAAATATCAAACTTAAATTAATTGGTGATAATAGACAACCATTTTCTACTGCCTTCGGTGGGTGATAGCCTCACACTAGACGCGGTTGGCTTCTTTTAGTCATGGTCTGTCACTTTGTCATCTAAAAATTCATCACTGGTACTGACATAATCATCATCGGCATAAGAGATTTAAAGAGATTTTAATAACAAAAAAGAAATCATGACAAACTTTCAAAGTGATGAAATATCATACCCTACTACTTCTTTTTGCTCACAATGTCTCTGTCGTATATTTGTACATGAATTATACATTAGAACTTGTAGATTTCAGTTTAGTTCTACATCTTGTTATCTTATTTTTGAGGGTCGCTTTGACATATTTTACACATTTTAACTCATATGCATAAGAAGGGTTTTTATGGATATATTATAGTAATGTCAACAGTTGAGATTATGAGTCAATTGAAGCTAGATCACCACTATGGAAAATCTGGAAGCACTGGACGACCGTTGCGTCCTATTGTGGGACTCCTCAGCATCAATTCAAAACTTTTGGTTAATATCATTATAGAATAAAGTTAATTCATTAATTCGTTAAAACATTAATTGGTCAATAACTCATTTTTATTTATCCATATTTTTCTTTGAATACTTAGAATTAATTATTATAGGAATTACTACACAGTCAAACTGTGGAAATCTAACCATTTATTTCGCCATTTAAATAGATGATCAAATATTATTGTCTAATTGAGAACTAGTGAATCCTACTTATCTGTATTCTTATAAAGCTATCCACTGATAAAAGTGAATGTAATCCATTAACTTCACTTGGTATTGTTTGTTTGAATCTTCCCATTGATGTTTAAGACTGTAATTGATCAATCTCTTATTGACATATAAGCATCCTGTGCATATTGCCTCGATATTGCCTTAATTCACAAGCATTATATGTAAAGATGGATAGTTAACGGTACTGAGTTCGAGTCCCAGAGGGAACATCAACTCTGAGGTGCAGGTACATCCAGATGACGAGTCCTAAATAGGACGAAGTGGCAGGGGTCCTGGATTCCACTGCTAGCCACTATCCACTAACGTTTGCTAATGCAAATGAATAACATGATTCATTCCAAACATTAATAAATGTGTACAGTTATAAATGTGCTCCGTCAAAGACTATTGTAATAAAACTAATCTACTGTATCTTAGGTATTTTTCTTAGAGATTACCAGTAACTACCATACTAAATAATTTTTATCATAAGTAACGTTTTAATGACCGAATATAAATGATGTTGATTGTTATTCAGTACACTACATCAATTCATCAACCTTATTGATTAATTTGTAAACAGAAAATGTAATACATAAAATTACACAATAAAATATTGACCAACATACTATTGTGGTGTATGCTACTTATATCGAACTAAGTAGTACATATTGTAGTGTCAGTTATTATATTAAGCCCATATACCTTACTCTAGCTTTCGGACATCCCATTCTATTCATTCTACTTGAGCCATACTTTGACCTTGTTATTTATTCGCTTATCAATCTAGACTGTTTTTATATGAGCATATATGTGTGTGCCCTTCTTATCCCATTAATCACATGTCTGTAGCTTTATTTTGTCTGACTATAAATATTGAGTAACGCTTGACTAAAATGGAATTGGCTTCCCAGCCATCCTCCCTGCGTGTCATTTTGCTCTACTCTGTTTCATTCGCTTCATATACAAATTATATGTATTCTCAAGTCAATTCCCGTTATTCAACTTATTTAATTCCGTTATCGACTAATGCGATTTAAGTCAACGATTATATACGAGAATAGGCGATAACAAACATTCGTAAGATCTAAATAGGAGTCAGATCCACGGGCCACTAAAATGGTGAGCCCTTCAACGAACATCGTCCGATCAAAATGACGGCAAATAAGAGGGCCACGTTAAATTGGTGAGCCCTTTCGACAACGTCGTTCGATCTAAACGAAGACAAAACGACGGGTCCCGCTAATGTATCACTAATCAGAAGTGGAATGTCTGGTAGCAGAAGTTTGAGATCAAATATAAAAAGAACATGAACAAAGTGTATTTATAATATAAATAAAAGAACTATAAAGTTTGTGATAATTGATGAAGGATTTGTAAATAAAGTATTGGATATATATGGTTTTTACATTTTAAGAAAGAACTCTGTAATTTTAATATACGTTGATTTTCCCCACTTGTATTATCGTTCACAACAACATCAATCCGTCCAGAGCTTCCAGGTTTTCAATGGTCGTCTAACATCAATCGGTTCATGATCTTAATTAAAAATTTAATAATCTCCACAACCCCTATACTGATGATTACCATGTTCTCACTGGTGACTAACTTCGTGAGGGAATTCTCGGAGTTCTAGTAAGGAGCCGTGATCAGTGGAGCTAATTCATGTCAGGTAGAGACAGTTATCTACCTCAGTACAATGGGAGATGGTCGCGCGATTTCATGGAATAGTTGAACTTATACATTAACTTCGTTGAATGTCTAGTAACTTGAGCGCTCACGCGCGAAAATGAAGGCTATGGGTTCGAATCCCGCGAGCGACATTGTGGATGTGCACTTCTGAGGAGTCCTAGAATAAGACGAAACGGTCGTCTAGTGCTTCCCGGCTTTCAATAGTGGTCTAACATCAATCGGTTCATGATCTCAATCAATAATCAATCATTTCTATCTCATTCCTGTCTGGTCTATAACTCTGAGGAAAAAAAATGCAAGTGATTTTCAGTGCGATGAAAAATTTTGTATAAAATCTATATTTTATTATTTAAAAAAGTGAAAATACAAACAAACTAAAGAAAAGAAATTGTCAGGAGATCATTAAACAGAAGCAACAAACTGTTATTTAGATAAGAAAAGAAAAGAAAAGCAACTATGCAAATGTTAATTTTACTCAATAGAACTATGTCATTTCATCATTTTTCTCTCATTTTTTTCTTTTTTTTTCTTTGGCCTATTTATATCTACTAGAATTTAAATAATTTTTTTCTTTTTTTCTTTTTTTTCTTTTTTTGTTTTTCCTTTTTTTCCCATTAATCATTGAGCATTGTACAATTCAATTTTAGTTAATAATTACTTTATTCCATGATCAAAAATCATGAGATTCTTTTTTCTCTGTTTTTTTCTGTTTTTTTTTTAACTTTTTACTCATTAATTATCAATTGAGTGAATGAGAGAAAAAAATTACGAAAAGCAAAAGAAAAAAGAAAAACTGACGATTTTATTTTTATTGTTTTTTTTTTCAAAAAAAAAAAAGAAAAATAATAATAATTACTCTGTTTTGTGATGTCTTTTTTCTGTTTTTCTTTTTTAATTGCGAGTTAAGTGTTGATCATTATGGTTTAAGTTTAATTGTTCATATTCATTCATTCATTGTGTTTAGATTATTATTATTATTATTCTTTTAACCGAAATAAAGAAACAAAAACCGTTTCAGTAAAATATATGGATAAAGAAAATAGGGAATAGAATAGTTGAGAAAAGTTAATCATTTTGGTAGTTGAGATCAGGAGTCAATTGAAGTTAGACCACCAGAGAAAATCTAGAAACACTAAATGGCTCTTTCATCTTATTGTAAAACTCATCGGTAGTGAACATCCACGATCCCACCACTTGACATTCGAATCCAGGATCTATCAGTTTCGCGCGCAAGCGAGAAATTGCTATAATACTCACAAAAACACTTCTTATATTAGTCAGCATATGCTCACTACTGACTGGCTTCAAGATATGTTTCCTGGAGTTCTCGTGAGTAGCAGTGACCACAGTTGTTCACCCAGGTCTGTTGTGAGATAGCAAGTACCTCACTGAAGACAATGCTAGATGTGTCGCTCAATTTCGTGGATTGGTTGAAGTTAGATATTAACACCGTTTGATGCCAGTCGGCTCAGTAGTCTATAGGTCTAGTGTTCGCGCGCAAGACCGACAGATCCTGGGTTCGAATCTTACGAGGTGGAATCGTTAATATGCACCGCTGAGGAGCCCCACAATAGGACAAAACGGCCGTTCAGTGTTTGTAGGTTTTTCATGATGGTCCAGTTTCAATTGACCAATGATCTCGATCTTTGAAATTAATTGAAAATTATCGGCATGCTTTTCAAATAGAACTGAGCTGTTTAAAATTCATTCATTTGAATTATGATTCGTTTTGATCATCTTCAAGTTGTTAGTATTTACATTATCATATTTATCTATATTGAAAGTTTACCTATAGATGTTAGACTTGCGTTAAAATGAAAATATTTTTGGTAACCTTTTTTTATTCTTTTTTATTATCATAGTGTGATGATGAAGATTTCACTCCACTTATCCGTAGTTTGAAACCACATTGTATATTGTTTCTAAATATTCCAAGGTAAGTGATTCATTATCATGGTGAAAAGTAACTGATTATTATTATTTGTTATATCTCGATGCTTATATTCTTGATATACCGCGTATAACTTAAGCCCTAGAACGCTGAAACCCTTCCAAGTCGTAATGAGAAGACAGAAGACTAGTGAAAGGATTGTTATTCCAGACAGTGTCAATTATAGTACAAAATTGTCAAGTATTAATAGGTTTTAGTAAGAAACGAAATCATCATTACAGTCCTCCAATCAGCATACAGGAGGTTATTAGCATTGTCCAATCGGGCAGCTACACGTAGGGATTCTAGAATATTCTTCCAAAAGGTGATTGGATGGAATATCCTTGGCTCTTTCTGAGCTTCTTACAGCTTCCTCGGGTTCACCCATGAACCGTCTTCACATTATTATTATCGTTATTATTCGTTATCAACAATACAAAAGAAACTGACAAGGAATGTTTTTAACCTACCCTTATTTTTGAAAATAACAGTAAAACTTGGCCTTTATTATAAATCAGTAATATGGTACTTTTTGTGGAAATTGAAGATCACGTGAATATTCATAGATTATCAGTTAAAGTCTTAAGTGATAAACCAACTTTACTGATCCTTTGAATTATGTAATAAGACTTTGTTTCAATATAATCTAATTTGTGATAATTAAATTTCAGTATGATGTTAGAAGATGATACTGAAGTGTTAATGACTTCAGGAAAAACACTTACTGTTAATCAGGTTATTTGGTATTAGGCCTTAAATTGTGTAAGTTTACATAAAAAGAATAGCATGAACACTTCATTTTGGAATCTATGGTTTCAATACCCCTCAGGGATTCAATTACAAAAAGTCCAATTTATAACATATATATGATAATGTAACGTATTAATACTCCTTATTAAAAAGTTTATGAATAATTGATAACAAGTTTATATCTTATTTGATGAATAATAATCATTGTCAGTTCCATCTTATGAAGTAATAAGACTTACCTAATACGAAAATCAATAAAATTGTTTATTGAGTTATGTCTGTCCAAGAAGTTTCGTTTGAACACATAAACAAGTGATATAAAAGTAGGAGACGGGATGAAAACCCCATTGAGAAATGATTCTGGCATACAATAGATAACTTGAAAAGATTTGGTTTCTTCTATGATATGGTCGTCGTTTTTCTAGCGAGTTAGTTTTCTACCATAAAGGGTCGCTAACCCCATGCCCAGGAAGAAGCGCTGCAAGTGGATAGGACAAACATTGAGGAAAGCACCCAACCGCGTTACAAGGCAAGCCCTCACTTGGAATCCTCAAGACCAAAGGAGAAGAGGAAGACCAAAGAACACATTACACCGAGTAATGGAGACAGACATGAGAAAAATGAACAAACTGGATAGAACTAGAAAAGAAGGCCCGTGACAAGGTGTGTTGGAGAATGCTGGTCAGCGGTCTATGCTCCATTGTGAGTAACAGGCGTAAGTAAGTAAGTAATGATATGATCGTCTCGAGTGATCTATTGTATGCCTGAGTTTTCTCTAATGGGTTTCGATCACGTCTCCTACGTATAGCAGACAGTATGTAGATCCGAGTCTTTGACACCAGTTCACGTGTTCTGAAGGAATTTTTAACACCCATATCTCTTTATTTACGGGATATGACCTAATAAAGTATCTTAATAACTTTTTCAAATTTGGTGTTTATTTGAGGTTCTTCATCTCATTCAGTTTGTATTCTTCACTATCTGGCCACTGACACATTTTTATAATCATAAAAACGCAAATTTCTACTTGCATGTTTTCATCTTATTTTCGATAGATATGGATCTGGCACCTTACCATGGGGTCAGCCAACAGCAGAATTCCAACCTCAAAGAATTGATGATGGATATATTGAAGTCATAGGTCTTACATCGACGTCATTAGTAAGTTGAAGTACTTCTATATCCTGCCTGTTGTTGTAGCGTTGAAAAATATCAGAATGTTAGAAATGCGTCTATTTTTCTGTTGTTACGCTGACATCAATCGGTTCATGATCTCAACCAAAAACTTAGTATTCTCCACAACACCATACTGATAACTACTATGTACTCAATATTGACTAACTTCGTGAGGGGATTCTCGGAGTTCTAGTAAGAAGCTGTGACCACTGGAGCTAATTCATGTGAGGTAGAGACAGTTATCTACCTCAATACAGTGGAAGATGGTCGCGCAATTTTGTGGATTGGTTGAACTTAGACATTAACACCATTGGTTGTCGGCTCAGTGGTTCAGTAGTTTAAGCGTTCGCGTGCGAGACTGAAGGCCCTGGGTTTGAATCTCGCAACCGGGGTCGAGTATGTGCACTTCTGAGCAGTCCCACAATAGGACGAAACGGCCGTCCAGTGCTTCCAAGTTTTCAATAGTGGTCTAACATCAATCGGTTCATGATCTCAATTTAAAACTTAAATTAGAATATTGAAGTGGAAATGCCTTGAAACCTCTTTGATATTAAATTAATTATGGACTGTCTAATAAAATGTATCAACACAGGTTGCTAAGAGCGGAATCAAACAAAATAATAAAAATTCGACACAGAGTATATCCTTGGAAACATTGATAAAACAAGTGCTGTCATTATACACCTTTCATAATTCTTAACAATATAAGAAATAAACTTATTTAAGATCATCTTAAACAACATTGACAATCTACTGTGATTCGTTGAATTGAGTAATCAATAATTAGTCCAAAATCTGGTATTTGTTTAGCCTTTAGTCTTATTTGGTTTCAGTTAGTCATTTCAAACGTGGCCACCAGTTTAAATGAACAGATAATAAATACTATTATGATTGCTACACAATGTAAATACGTGAATTTTGGTCAGTTGTGAGTTCAGTAGATCAGTGGTCATGCTAATAACTGAGACATTGGGTGACATTGTTTCGAATCCCATTCAAAGTATAAGTTTCTGTAAGCCTACTTACGTTATTGACACAATTGGCACAATTCTTAGTTTCAGATATTTCGCTTGAACAGTATCAACCATGTAGTATAGTAACTTATTTACTTGGATAACCATGGAAATACAGTAAGCACTAGGTAGTTATTTTGTTACAATCACCAAAAAATCCCTGTACTAATAATTGTCATATGCTCACTAGTAACTAATTTTGAGATTGTTCTAGAGTTTTAATAAGAAACTATGACCAATGCAGTTTAAAAGCATCCAGTGTGAAGTAACTACCCACCAAGTACATTTGAAGACGGTTGAGCTGTACTATCGATTTGTTGAAATTGAACATGTAAACCATTTATCCCTAGCTCAGTGATCTAGATATTAAACGTTCGCCGCAAGATCTAAAGATTCCATGTTCGATCTGTGGTTAGGGTCATGTATACTCAATGCTTAGAAGTCTGTTAGTTATCAACTACATATGATGAGATTGTGATTTCTAGGTTCCAAAATGTAATATTTAGTTTTATGTGGTTATTTAGTTAAAATTACTTCATGATAAAGACTAGATTATCTAAATAAAAGAAACACATTACTCAATATACATGAAGTTGAGAAACTCTTTAGAATTCATTTTCAAACATCCAATCATTTATAATATTTTGCTTAAATTACACATTGAAAATTACATTTGTTTTTTCAATGCATATATTGTTACTAGGCAACTTTACAAATAGGTGGACATGGTGATCGAATTTGTCAATGTCGTCGTGTACATCTTACAACAGATATTGTTATCCCTATGCAAATGGATGGTGAACCATGTCGTTTAATGCCATCAAAAATTGATGTATTCTGTTCACATCAAGCATTAGTCATACAAAAATTAACACGTTCACCTATCTCAGCTGTAACACTTAACGAGTAAGTTTATTTGTAATATTTTTTTAATTTAAATGATTTTGATATTGTTGGGGACGTTAGATCTCCAAAACTCACTTGAAAAAGAAACTAATTTTCCTTTTTCCAAGTGAGTTCTAGGAATCTCACGTCATTCATTAAAGATTATTCTGGTAATCAATGGAAATGAACAACAATATTAATTAGAATGATAACTTACGATTTGTTTTTAGTAATTAGTATCCATCATTGAAGAGATTCAACTTTATTTAATCTCAAAAACTTATAGAATTCTAAAGAAAATATTTGCACTGTGATATTATAAAGTAAAGATAATGAATAAAATGCTTTTACTCCTAGTTCAGATAGATCTTATTAGAGGTTAAGCGTTCGCACGTGAGACTGAAAGCCTTGAGATCGAATCCCACGAGCGGAGACGTGGATACACACTGCTAAGGAGTCCCACAGTAGGACGAAAAGTCCATCCAGCGCTTTCAAGTTTTCAATAGTGGTCTAGCATCAATTGGTTCAGGATCTTAACCAGAAAGATTTTGTTAGAATCATTATTTAATGTAAATATATTTCCTTTTTTTACGTGAACTCGTATTTAACTCATGATACTAATGATACATTGACTGAAATGTACACTTGTATAGTATGAGTGGCATGAAATAGTCAATATTTCATTTACATCACTATCAGATCGTGATCTGCCAACCTTATTTTGACGATAATCAATAATTCAAATATAAATACTGTGAAACGTAGGATTCAATGAATAATTACTTACTTACGTACTGACTTACTGCTGTTCCTCCCAATGGAGCATAGGCCGCCGATCAACAGTCTCCAACCCACTCTGTCACGGGCTTTCCTTTCTAATTCTATGCTATCCTTGTTCATTCTTCTCATGTCTTTCTCCGTTTCTCGATGTAATGTATTCTTTGGTCTTCCTCTCCTACTTTGGCCTTGAGGATTCGATGTAAGGGCTTGCATTGTGATGCAGTTGGGTGCTTTCCTCAATGTGTGTCCTATCCACTTCTAGAGCTTCTTCCTGATTTCTTCTTCCACTGGAATCTGGTTTGTTCTCTCCTATTGTGGGTTGTTGCTGATAGTGTCTGGCCAACGAATGAGAAGTATATTGAGTAGACAACTGTTAATAAACACATATATCTTGTATCTTGTAACTCGCTAAAAAAACGCTAACTAGAAAAAGATAATTCAATGAATAATAGAGTAGTTATGATAGGGGGAAGTACCTAAATATAAACTAACTTTTTCTCTGATAAGTGAATGTTTACAGAAAAACAAACAAACAAACAAGAGTTTGCTTCAAGGTTTAAATAGAAACCATTTAGAAAACTTAGAAAAACTTATGACATGTAAAGCCACCGTCCACATTAAAGTTTCATCATATCTGTACTGATAATTTCTCTTGATTTCGATCAGTATTTTTCTACTTATTATCTAAAAAAGGCTACAAATGAGTAGTGTTATTCTTCAGATCACTCAATGTGGTCAATACAGTCGAGTTTTATGATTATGATTATTTATATTTTTATAGTGGATTAGCAGAATATCGAAGGCTGGAAAAATTAGTTAGAAATAATCTATTGTGAACAATCAAGGTTTGTGAACACTAATGTTTATTATCGGTGTCAAAATATACTGAGTAATAAATTAGTTCAATAAATAATTTCATAATCAGAAGGGGTTTTGTGGAGATTATAGTAATTTTAATAATTGAGGTCATGAATTAATTGAAACTAGATCACCATGGAAAACCTAGAATCACTGGACGACCGTTTGTTCCTATTGTAGGACTCCTAGGCAGTGCGCATACACGATTCCATCTCACCAGATTTGAACCCAGTACCTATCAGTCTCGCACGTGAACGCTTAATTTCCAGACCACTGAGCCGACTGGCATCGAATGGTGTAAGTGTCTAAATGGGTTAGAATCTTGTGAGGTGTGACTGTGGATGCGCACTGATGAAGAGTCCCATAATAGGAAGAAACGGCCGTTCAGTGCTTCCAATTTTTCCATGGTGGTTTAGCTTCAATTGACTCACGATCTCAACTGTTGAAATTTCATAATCTAAGTAGAATAATGTGTGTGTAAGCTTTCATAGGTAACTGATTATGTCAGCGAAACTCTTATTTATCCCATTACCTTGTATGCTTTGTTCGATCTATTCAATTTACTCAGCTGCTGGAAAATAGAAAAATCACGCTTAACTACATGTAACTTATTTTTGTGATCGGATCAGATATATTGACAACATAGAGGTTATGTATTTATTTTATAAATAAGTACTCATTGCGTGTATTATAGAGACATTTGTGATTAATATAAAGACACTTAACCACTCTACGATCATCAGTGCAGGCTTGTGGAGATTGTGGATGTTCACTGCTGACGAGTCTCATGCTAAGACGAAACACTGATCGGTTCACAATCTCAATATCACACTCTGATCGTTAATACACTAAATCACATAAGCTTTGAATTATATTAGATAGAAGAATTCATATTATCAGGACAATTATTTACTTATCACAAGTAATCATTAACTAGGTAATTAATTCCAGTTTGAAATTTATCAGGAATTTCCACATATATTCGTGGAAGACAAAACTTTCAAAATTTCTTAACAAACATAACACTACTGAACCATCAAGTAGGAATTCAACAGTTATAGTTTTAAATTTTTTAACTATTTTGTGACAAAACAATCACCTTCATTTTAAGATTATACAAACACTCGAACAAAGATCACAGTGTTCCCTAATCAGTGATCAATAAGTTGAAAATATATCGATTTTACAGGAGGTTACACGACCCCTGAATAGCTCAGAGTTAATGTCTGTGATTGTGAAGCTGGATAGTACAGAGTTGAATCTTCCATGAAGTATTTGTTCACTCAAGATTAAAACTACATCTTGCTGAAGAGTGACAACTAGCTCAAAACTTAAGTTAGGTAAGACTACCATCTGACTATACCGTAATTGTTTAATAACTACTGCATTAGTGATAGAATTCATAATTATTTGTAAAATTTCAAACTAATTCACAATCAAATATAGTTTAATTTCATTATGGACAAATCCAAAAATTGCAGTAGTCTATATTGTCAATTAAGCTTACAGTATTGTTCTGCTCAATTTATCATTCATTATATTTATATGAAAACTAGTCAAGCAAACGGTGACATGCCTATTATTACGTCTACAAATTACAAATGACGGAAATGCATTAACCATAACATATTATCTTAACTAAACGAATATGGTTTGTGTAGTTGGCTAGTTGTCTCATTAAAAATCGAACAGTTCATTATTCCCTCTTTTTTTCTTGTAAAGAAAGAAATTATGAAATAATTTATTGAGATCATGAACCAATTGATGTTAGACTACCATTGAAAACATGGAAGCACTGGACGGCCGTTTCGTTCTGTTGTGTGACTCCTCAGCAGTGCTCATCCACAATCCCACTCGCGGGATTCGAACCTCATACTGATAATTACCACGTGCTCACTAATCATTAACTTCGTTAGAAAATTCTCGGAGTTCTAGTGAGAAGCCGTGATCAGTGGAGCCAATCCGTGTCGGATAGAGACAGGTATCTACTTCAGTACAATAGAAGATGATCGCGCGATTTCGTGGATTGGTTGAAGTTAGACATTAACACCGTTGGATGCCGGCCGGATAAGTGGTCTAGAGGATAGGCGTTAGCGCGTGGGACTGGTAGGTCCCGGGTTCGAATCTCGCGAGGCGGGATTTCTTCATAAATGAGCTTTGTGAAGTAACAAAATATCTGTAGATTTTGATAGAATAATCCATTTAATTAGCGAGTAGCTACATTTCACGGTTGCCTAACATTTAACAATAAACAAAAACAAAACATTGTCAAATCATTTAACTTTTTATAGGTTGTTTGAATCTTCTCATTGATGTTGAGGACGGAAATTGATCAGTCTCTTATCAGTATACGTGTGTGCTATGCGGACTGTCTCGATATTGCTTTAAATCACAAGCCTTATAAGCAGAGATTGGTGTTGGCTAGCATTGAAATCCAGGACACGCGTTTCGTCCAGTTTGGGACTTGTCAGCTGGATGTACCTGCATCCTGTTCACTTCGGGATTCAAACCAAGTACCATTCTGTTTATGACGTTTATGACTCAAAGAATTGTCGAGGCAATTTGCCAATAAAAGGCTGAATAATTGAAGTTCTACACAACAATGGGAAGATTCAGACAACCAATACAGAAATGAATTAAAACTTCACCTCACACTGCACAAAATAGTGGCTATCTAGACTCAGTAGTTGGGTTGAGTGCCGATTTGAACATCAACTCTTAGATGCATGTAAATCCAGCTGAAAAGTCCCAAATAGGATGAAACGTGCGTCTTTGATTCCACTGCTAGTCACCATACTTCTTTGCTTATAATGCATTTTCACGATGGTTATTATACTTAACAAACCGGCTTTAAATTTTTCTTCTATGAAAAACAAATACAATTCATGTAGTTGATTTATCGATCGTTTAGAGTTATAATTACTTAAGAATTTTGAAAGTTTCATGAACCAGGATAGTTTTTTTTAAAAACTTATCAGTACCAAGGTCATTTTGTTAAAATAAAACAAGGTGATTTATAGATATCAATGAAAGTAGACAACTCATTCTTTTCTAATGAAATTTTCGAATCTCACGAGCGGGATCGTGGATGCGTACTGCTGAAGAGTCCGATAGTAGGACGAAACGGCCGTCCAGTGCTTCCAGGTTTTCCATGGTTGTCTAGCTTCAGTTGACACATGATATCAACCATTAAAATAATTTCTTTGAATTAATAATCTTTGAGCTCAGTGACCAACAGTATCTATAGAGGACAGAGTTAACAAATGATATACCAATAGATGTTGTTCATTTGATAGTCATTAAAGAGAAACATAACTGTAAGATATAATTTTATATCCCTATTATTAAAGGTTTGAATGATTTTGATGTCAATAATGACAATTGAATATTGATCATTTTTTTATTACTACCTGAGCGTTTTGTAGAGATTGATTGAGTGTGATCATTTTGTCACTAGTTATTATAGTATAGATGGATTATACTTACTTATTTATTTACTTACGCCTGTCACTCCCAATGGAGCATAGGCCGCCAACCAGCATTCTCCAACACACGCTGCCTTAAGCCTTCCTTTCTAGTTCTATCCTATCGTTGTTCATTCTTCTCAAGTTTATCTCCATTTTTCAACCTACTGGATTATGATTAATAATGAAATCCAGCATGTGTCACCGTCCCTTATTCGAAACTAGTCAGCTGGAGCCCCCAAATGCCCTGGTACGGCCGAGAGTGGGGAGAGTCACAGCTCTCCCTCTTGAAATGCTCTCACATGACCACGCGTATATGGCCTCTGCCAGGGAAGTCCTACTCATTGCCTTCTTGTGGCGGGGGTGTTGTCTACGAAATTGAGAAGAGAAAAAGCGAATATCTGGTGCTTTAATCGGGTTGGTGGATAGGGATGATCCATCTAAGGGAGTTCGAAAACCCTCATTCCAAACCAATCGCGCACATGGGTTCCAGGATCCTGAAGGAACAAATAGCATATGAACCAGTCGTTGGTCACCGGTTACCATGGGATTGAATCTCTTTACGATGCTCCACTGCATTGTGGATCAGACCTTTATGTCAAAGGCTCCGGGTGTGGACCCCTAAGAGAACCACCTGCTTCAGTTTGGGTACCCGGACAGTATGACAGTGCTCACAAATATCTGGATCCTAACATTCATATTCAGAATGATCTTATCAGTGAAAACTGTTTATTCTGTGAAATATTCTCTAAAATTGTTTCAAATAAAGAAAAAGCGAATATTACATATTCCCTACTTTAATACATTTCTCATATTATTTAAAATAGAATGGAGGTTGTATACTTTGATCTAAGTTTATCCTACATGGCAATATATATATATATATATATATATATATATATATATATATATATATATATATATATATATATATAATTGATTCAACATGAATAATTATTTCTGATCATAATAAATTTAAAATCAATAAAATTGTTTTCTATCTCTTTGGTAATAATAATAATAATAATAATAATAATAATAATAATAATAATAATAATGACAACAACAGTAAACTCATATTGTTCTCTTTTCTTTTATCTCTTCAATTCTGTTCATATTTAATTACCTAAAAATTGGTATTAATAATAATAATAATAACTTGATTAAACGTTAATTGGCTTCATTGTTTTTAACTGCTTGTGTTTACTTTTTCCCAATAATGATCAACTCTTCTGCCATGATATAAATTACTCAATGATTTCCGTTTATTTATTTATTTGTTTGTTTGTTTGTTTTTCCTACCTGTAAAACGTTTCTGCGTGGGCGTGTTTCTTTATTAATATGTTTATTTGTTCACCATAATTACATTGTTTGCTTTACCCTGTGTGTGCGTGTGTGTGTATATGCGTGTGTGTGTATATATGCGCGTGTGTGTGTATATGCGCGTGTGCGTGCGGTTTTCTAATAATCACTTTAATTAATATGGAATATGATTATATGATATGGGGAAATATAATTTGATTTACACTGGTGTAATTTTGTGTTTTTTCGCGCGGGGGGGGTGTTTTTTAAAATAATTGAACCGGTGCTTATATATATATAACATGTAATAATAATTATTAATAATTAAAGATTTTGCGGTCATTGTAATTGTTTTGCTTAACATCACCATATTATTAGATTATGGATCATATCATCATTGATTTGTCACAGCTGATTCATCATTATTATTTCTTCTTTTTTTTCGGTATTATCTTTCAATCATTGAATATTTACTTCACTATTATTGTTTTGTTTTGTTTTGTTTTATGATTATGATTACCTAATTAAAATAATTATTCATTTAATTAAGATTTATTGTTACCATCTATATCGATCATAAAAGATGACATTCTACTGTGGAATGTTTCAATCTGTTTTCGGTTGTTTCTTTCTTGTATAAAGAAAAACTATCATGAGGGTTAACAGGTATTTATGTTCTCTCTCTCTCTCTCTCTCTCTCTCTCTCTCTCTCTCACTTTGTCCCTCAATCTGCATTAAGTATCTTTAAGTTTCAAGTCTTTTTGTATTACTGTTGAGCTGATCAAATTATTATGGAACCGGAAGAGGAGAAATCTTTAGTTATATATATATGGGTAGATAGATAGATAATAGAACATTCTGGTTCCTATGTCCCTCTTGTTATACAAATGACTATGTATTTTGATTTTCTCAAACAATTTCCTTACAATCAGTAACATCTTTAATCATTATCATCTTCTGTAATAGAATTTTTTAATATTTAATTATTATATAAATTAGAACACAATCAATATGAAAGATGAAGTTGGTTTGTTTTTTGTCATTGTCATTGTTATAATTACATCGTTTGTTATTTTCTCTAAATAGCTCAGTTAATCGATTGAATTGGTTTACATTATTTCAAATCTCTACATTTGTGTATTACTGATACTAATTATAAAATGGTTTAGATGAACACTGAGTGATAGTTGATTATGTTTTCTTTTGTTTTGTTTTCTTTTTTTTGTATTTTACATTTTAATCTTGTAAATTTGTACTTCAATTTCTTGTACATCTTTCTTCTTTTTTCTTTTGTTTTTTTTCTTTTTGATTGTTTGTTTATATGATTTATTATCTTATTTTGTATTTATCTATTTTTGTTTATAAATAGATGATATCAATTTTGTATATTGAATAGTCGCTTACTTTATATGGGTAGAATATATTGTATAAACGAAACAAATATCATTATAATCAGACAGGGGTTTCGTGGAGATTGTAGTGATTTAATCATTGAATTTATGAGTCAATTAAAGCTAGATCACCATGAAAAACCTGGAAGCATTGAACGGCCGTCTCATCCTAAGCAGTGATCATCCATAATCCTACCTCTCGAGATTCCAACCCAGGACTTATAAGTATTGCGCGCGAACGCTTGACCTCTAGACCATTGAGCCGGTTGGCATCCAACGATGTTAATATCTAACTTCAACTAATCCATAAAATTGAGCGACACATCCATCATTGTCCTCAGTGAGGTATTTACTATCTCACAACAGACCTAGTTGAATTTCACTGGTTACTGATTCTCACTAGAACTCCAAGAAATAACTATTGGAGACAGTCACTAGTGAGCATATGTTGATTATAATCAGGGAGAGGTTTTTGTGGATTTGCAAATAGTCATTTACACTTAAAAACAATACTATAATTTGTAACTGAATGAATAATAACTAAGTATAATAAACATTCAACCTAATTGATCAATGCTTTGTAATTATTTGTAAACAACAACAACAACAGCAACAAAAAGCACTTGTCAATTACCATATGAATTTGTTTGTTAAACTAATAAGTGAATCATTAACCAATAAACAATAATCTTTATTTTGGAATATTTACATTTAACTAGTTTAAATGACATTTTTATCCCTAACTACTAAATTTTATCAGTTTAGGAGTTGTGGAGATTGTTAAGTTTTTGATTGAGATCATGAACCGATTGATGTTAGACCACCATTGAAAACCTGGAAGTACTGGACGGCCATTTCGTCCAATCAAATTCATTCTATTTAAAATGTAGTCTAAACATTTCACAATTGTAGAAATATTAACGTAGTTGTTTAACACTTGCATTTCTTATACTACTGTTATAGATATTAACTATAGTTTGCTTATTATTGAGTAATACATGAATCAAGTAAATGATTATAAATTTTCGTTTGTTTGTTTGTTTGTTTTTATTTTTGTAGAGATGGAAATCATCTACAATGGAAAACAATTGGTGGTTATGAAACAAGAATAAATGTATTTGTGATTGCTTTAAAAGATTATAATGAAATGTCCGATGATGTAATCAGTTTACGTCAAACTGGTAAGTATAATAGTTCACTAATTAATAATGATTAATATCAGAATAGGTTTTGCGGAGACTTTAGAAATTTCACTGGTTGAAATCACGAGTCAATTGAAGCTAGACCACCATGAAAAACCTGGCCGTCCAGTGCTTCCAGGTTTTCCATGGTGGTCTAGCTTCAATTGACTCGTGATTTCAACCAGTGAGATTTCTAAAAATCTCCACAAAACCCATTCTGACAATAATAATAATAATCACCTGCTCACTAGTGACTGACTTCAGGAGATACTCCTGAAGTTCTAGTGAGAAGTCGTTACCAGTGGAGTTCAATCAGGTCTGTTGTGAGATAGGAACTCACTGAAGACAATAGTGTACGGTGGCGCAACTTCGTGGATTGGTTGAAGTTAGACATTAACACCGTTGGATGTCGGCTCAGTGGTCTAGTTAATTAAGCGCCTGATCCTGGGTTCGAATCACGCGGGGTGGGGGATCGTGGATGCGCACTGCTGAGGAGTCCCGTACTAAGAAGAGACGGCCATCCAATGCCCCCAGGTTTTTCATGGTGGTCTGGCTTCCATTGACTCATGATTTCAACCAGTGATATTAAAGTTTAGTTATCATTGAATAAGCTGATTCAAGTCATTATCAATATACTAAGTGCATCTTAAACAGTTAACATCAGTTCAAGAAATCAGCTATATGTGTGTTTAGTCGCTGATATAAACTACACTTGTTTGTAAAGATCTCAATAAAACACATTCTAGACGATTGATTGTGTATACTCGACAATTTGTTTTGTAAAACTATATTAAATATCCAACTTGAAGAATACAATTAGACCTGACGCTTAAAAATCATATTAACATACATTACATACCATTACTTTTTATTGAAATTATGAACTTTTCAAAATTAGAACACCATTTTAAACCTGGAAGGAGTGAACAGACGTCTCGACTTGATATGGAACTCCTCAGAAGTGTCTAATCGCAATCCTGTAAACGGCAATCAAACATAAGACTTACAGTTTTACGCGAGCGCCTAACCTTTAGACCACTGAGCCGGCACCAAACAGTGGTAATGTTTAATCTTAATCAATTCAAGACTCTATGCTACCATCTTCCGTTGTCTTCGGTGGATAACTGACCCAAAGCTTATGCAGTTGAACTCCACTGGTTACAACTTCTCACTGGAACTACGAGAATCATCCGTGGAAGCTATTCACCAGTGAACACATAATAACTAACAGTATCGGATTGCAGAGATAGCTGAGTTTTATTAAGATCATGAACCAACCAATATTAGATTACTAATGAAAATCTGGAAGCACTGTATGGCCATTTCGTCCTAGTATGTGACTTCGCAGCAATGCGTACCAACCACCATGGTTCCAATGAAACTCAACAATCTCCACAACCCTATACTTACTATTACTTTTGATAAAGTCTGAATATTGATTTCCTACAATATTTGACTTTTCAACAGACTGTAAGGTACTTTCTTATTTATAAAAATACACGTGTTACGTATACCTGAACACTGATTACCACGACAAGCAATACTGACTAGTGTTGGGGACGGCTGGAACAAAGTTAGAGACGGCCAAACCAACCAAAACGTGGCATCAGTTCTTGAAGTCACTGACTTCTAGTCTGAGCCATGTTGGTAGATGCAGATTACTTTTTTGGGGTCTGTGTGACTGTCGTAACTAATGGTTAGAGACTTCGAGTGACATGGCTCAGAATCGATTACAATGATGTAGGTGTACACACTTTCTGTCTTCCCTTAAACTATGAGATTAAAATCGATTCATATCTTTCTTTCTATGAACTAATTCTTTCTTCCTGTACTATATCCTTATATGCAATCATTCTTTTATATACTACTACCACCACCACCACCGAATTAACTACTTCTATGAATTCAGTGTTGATCTTGTTGCGTTAATAAAGTATGGCAACTTTAACCGATGTATATATCTGTGTCTGGTCCTACGTTGTAACTGACTGACGGAATAAAGATACATATTGACGAGTGTACTTACACAGAAATACCAAACCTGTAATTGATGTTTCCAACTTTAAAATTAATGAATAGTTTTATCGTTACAAAAAATAATTATTCGTATTCTTTTCTTTTTATACAAAATCTCTTTCAAATCTGTTACGTCTTTTCTTTCTTCTTCTTTAAAGCTGTGTGGATCGGTATTATTACTGCAAAATATGATACAGACTTATCAACTGTAAGAAAAATTATTACTCAATTAAATAAAGATAATGCTCAAGAGAATTTATACAATGAAAACTCTCAATCCATAGAAACTAATCTAAAAGTTCGAGTTCATTTATCGGATTCTTGGGTTTTTATTGATTGTAAGTAATTGATTGTATTATACACTCTATTTTTATTGTTCTTAATATTAGAAAGAATTTTGTGGATGTTATAGTAATGTCAATAGTTGAGATCATGAGTCAATTAAAGCTAGACTACCATTATGAAAACCTGAAAGTGCTGGATGGCCGTTTCGTCTTATTGTGGCACTCCTCAGTAGTACGCATCTACGATCTCTCCTCGCGAGATTCGAACCCATGATCTATCGATCTCGCGCGCGAACGCTCACCCATTGTTAATATTGTTACATTCCATGATGTTTTTTACTTTTCATACAGTTTATAGCAGCTTATGTGCAATTGAGTTTGTTCACATTTCATTTGGCTAAGCCCTTTTTGTTAACTTATTTAACGAATAGAGTAGTCATTCGTACAATAACAACTTATATCATTGTACCTTTATTATTGTTACACTTGTATGAATATGTACACTTGAGTATTACTTACTGCCTACGCATATATTCATTCGGCAAGTATTATTACTAGTCGTTTAATTGATTCGATTATTCATTCATTTCCCTAGGTACATTTTAATCCTGTTCATTGACTTAACGACTCGCGGGTGAAACTTTAATTTATGGACGACCATTGAGCGACGCTAGACTGACGTTGGGAGTGTTCACTTAATAACCAGGACCTAATGAGTGTTATGAACCTGTGTGATGAATTAGAATTCTTATTTACAGTGGATGATTAAGCTTAGGAATTATATTTCTGGGTTTGATCATGAACTGACATCAGCTATAATCCCAAAACTCTATTTATCCAAATAGATGAGTAAATTTCGCGCCAAAATATGAAACCTGTTGTCTCATACCTGATTGTTTCGTCCATAAATTATAGTCTCGCCTACTCTCACGCTCATTCGCTTGCCTGATAGCTTTTCAGCACTACTCTTTCATGTTTGTTTAACGTACCTGTAATTTTGGTTATCTGTGCGTGGTGCAATAACACACGTAATCAACACCGCTGAGGCATTATCTAGTGACGGTTATCGGGATGAACTATATACGAAGTTTAAGGATTATATTGAATACCGACCACCACAAGTTACTATCAATATGTTTTATTTACAATGTTGATTTGTAAAATATGTATCTCTCATTTTTATTCCAATATAACCTAGTGTTTTCCCGTATTGATATATGAGTAGTTTCGTTAAATAATTTGTTCTTTATGGTTCCGAAGACAATTAATATGCTTACGTACAATAATTGCACCCTCGTTTTATGCTTCTTGTCGACTTTATAAATCTTTCGGTCAAGAATTTTGTTTAATAAATAGTTTACATGGTAGTTGATTGAGTATAGAATATCATCATGTCTATACATCGTTCACAGGTAGTCCGGTTATAAAAGCCAATGCTTGGGATGTATGATCATCTGAAAATCTTGTGCTTCAATGATATATACATATTTCAAGGTTATAAAACATAGTATAGAATAATATCACCAACAGTTGGGATTGTCATCTTTGAAGCATTTACCCCATATGATGGAACACTTTAGTTAACATTATCGTGAATGGAAGTAGGATACTAAGTAAAGGTAACCATTAACCATCAGTTTAGGCTGATAGAACATGTAATATAAACGGCTATTCCTAATGTTGTCCAATATAGAAGATTGAAAGATGGGTAGATGCTTCCAAAAAAGACCATCCTTCTATTAAATCAATGGCTATTGGTTTTAAGAATGTCAGCAGGCATAAACTATAATCGTTGTCATTTTGTAGGCACAATACCTTTTCTTACTACTAAGAAATTGAGAATAATGTTAATTAGCACTCGGTGACCGGCTTACATCATATGTATATATTGTTCGAAATAAAGAAAACAAGTGTTCATATATCTATGCATATCTTTGCAGTCTTACTACAACTGAAAAGACAGGCTCTGGTCAAAGTTGCCTGAAAATTCCTTATTGGCAGCCTATGCCCTAAGTAAAGTAAAAAGGTGTGAGTAAATAGGTGATGTTGTTTAATTGTCTGACTGTAATTTACATTTACAAAAGAATATGATCGCAACCCGTTTAATGGGACATCACCTAATCAGCAACAACGGTTTCACAAATAATACACGTATACCATAATCAATAATAATATCATCATCAGAGAATCCCACTTTTTATTATCACCTATTTATATTTACTGGATAGTCACGAATTACTTTCAACAAAGTTGACGACTACAGTTTCAGCATAATCAGGATTGTTCTAGATCCCCGAATCAGAAGTCCTTGAGGTTGCAATTTATAAAATGTTCGAATAATAATGATTTGAATTATGCCAACAATTGTTTTAATTTTGACAATAGATAAAATATGGGCGACTTTATAGAGAAATATTACGAGTATACTCTACTTCATTCTTGTATACAAAATATCTGACACAAGCACAGTTAGACAAAATCAAACATAATAATGATTGTAATATATATTGTTTCTTGTTATAACTTGTGGCCTGAGTCTCCTGTTAATGTATAACGTAGTGATACCGCCAATTAGAGAGCAGCGAATTATCGATTGGACCAATGACGCATAAAACTCGTGCGAGCAGTCTGGAGTACTTATCGGTCGTGCTTCCCGCCTAGCCTAGACCAGCCAGTTAAGTTCAGGCCACCAATCTCATCCTCTGCAGCATAAATCGTTTATTTCAAACATACTGGGTTTATATACCAACCAGACAGACCACGTCGTATCATAAAATAGGAAACAACGTTCGTACAAGATTTAGCCAAATATGGCTGTGAATCAGGGAGATAGTATTTGATAAACAAGTTGTGGTGTGTGCTACTTATATCGACATAAGTATTATAGAATGTTAGTCATGAACAGAATGTCTGGTAGCAGAGAGACAAGAGGATCAAACAGTAAAGAATGGAAACAGAATGAAATTTGTATGAAAATGCAAGAACAATAAAGTCTGAGAAAATTGATGGACATTTTGCAAATTAAGTATTTACTATTTGAGTGTTGGATTTTATTAGCAAATCCTGTAAGTTTGAGTGAAATACATTCGGTTGTCTCCACTCGTGTTCTGATCAATATAAGGTCATAATTCAAGAATGGTATTTCGTATAATAATAGTTCATACATCAAAATAAAGCTTATGATAAGAGGAACACGAATATGAATAGTTCAGTTATTTAGCAATTATACGATAAAAATATACGTATAGTACTGGTCCACAAATAGATCCTATCACTTATCATTCATTATGCTTATGTAGTTTAATCACTAGCAAATGATAACAAATATAACTGTTCAGAAATAGACTACAGTCAAGTGGATTAAACGCGGCGTACTCCTCAACGACATACTTAATATCAAATCAAATCAAGTATAGTTCATATTATAATCTTTTTTTCTCTTTCTGATCTTCAATTTACCAATTATAGGAATTCCTTCTATTCATTCAATCTACTATGAAAAAAAGACAAACTATTTAACGTTAAGCAAAACATGGATCAATTATTTGAACACTATACCTTCTAAGATATTGTTATATCTTATGATCGCCTATTAGGAGGTAGTGACTTATCGATCGGATCAATGACGCGTAAACACGTGCGAGCAGTCTAGAGTTCTGATTGGTCTTGCTTTCCGCCCAGCACAGTCAGTTAAGTCCAGAACACCAATCTCAGCCTCTGAGATATGAATCACTATATTTCAAACATACTTTGTTTATATTACCAATCAAGCAGACCACATCGTACCATAAAATAGAAAACAATATTTGTACAAGATTTGACCAACAGGAAAATGACACTTGAAATAAATATTGACCAGTAGGAAATGATACCATTCCAAGTCCAAGAATAGCATTATACTTAACAGGATAATTTTTGGGATATTTTTCTGAATATCCCAAGAGATATTCTAAGAATACTTTGAATAGTTGAAATATAATTAAGTATATTATATTGTCATATGTTTGAAATGTTTTAAAGTAACATACTACTTTCAATATAATTTCTTTTCTCTTTTCTCTTTTCTTTTCTTTTTTTTCTTCTCCTTCTTCTTCTTCTTCTTCTTCTTCAATAAATCAATATAGCAACCACTGCAGCTAGTCGATTTTTTCGTATTGATATAGAACAAGAAAATGTACATTTTTTAACGGATGTTTGTAATATGGAAGATTTATTTCTTATTGATTCTATATTAGAATCGTCTTTGACATATAATAATAATAATAATGATAATCCAATAACTAATTCTTTAATTGATCATCATGTCTTACTTCCATTACCATCTAATTCATCATTACTGCACGATGATAATGATAATGATGATAACCAATTAAATCGATCAAGAGTCAAGGAAAGTTTAACATGTGAAACAAGTTATGAAATCAAAGTTGTTGAACCGGAAGATGAGGATCAATTACATAATAGATTACATCCAATTGACGTAAATTTGTGTTTTGATTATTTAAGTTATCATTTCTTTTGTTGTTGTTGTTGTTGTTGTTTATTTATATCCGATCATGGTTTTCTTTTCAATGAATTAAATGACATTGTGCAGTGTTCTTTTTTTTGCTCTCGTAATTTCTATCCACCACATAGCAGAAAATGAAAGATTTATGTTAAACAGATGACTCAAAAGTTCGATTCGTTCTTCCGGAATAACTTTACTGCTTTAGTAATTGTGCTAGTATAAAATAAATAAAAAAAACTTGATCGATAGCATTTTTCTCTCTTCATCTTAATGGTGTTGATCGAATATTATCGATAGAGTTTCAGTGTAACAGATTGTATAATGGATTCGATATGACTGTTCATTATTTTGATGAAACATCAATGATGATCGATAAGAAAGATTGAGCTCATGTTTTGAACCAGATTAGTAGATATTTGTTTAATAACATGAAATCAACTGTATAATAATGATTTACATTGTTTATAGACTTATGACAAAAAACTTCATATAGCAAATATTCTTAAAGTTGCCTATAGTATAAAATCTAATATACTTACTTTACTTATGCCTGTTACTCCCAATGGAGCATAGGCCGCCGACCAGCATTCTCCAACCCACTCTGTCTTGGGTCTTCTTTTCTAGTTCCATCCAATTCTTGTTCATTTTTCTCATGTCTATCTCCATTTCCCGGCGTAATGTGTTCTTTGGTCTTCCTCTCCTACTTTGACCTTGAGGATGCCATGTGAGGGCTTGCCTTGTGACACAGTCGGGTGCTTTCCTCAATGTGTGTCCTATCCACTTCCAGCGCTTCCTCCTGATTTCTTCCTCCGTTGGGTTATGGTTTGTTCTCTCCTATAGTAAGTTGTTGTTGATAGTGTTTGGCCAAAAAAAATTAATATACATACAATTTAAATAAACTGATGTTTGATATCATAAATTCAACTTTCAAAATACTTATCTGATACAAGCGAAAGGAATTAAATTCACTTGGTGTTGTTTTAATTGTATCTTCCGATTGTTATTTAGGACTGTAATTGATCAATCTTATATTATCATGTGTGCATCCTGTGCGGACTGCCTCGATATAGCTTGAAGTCACAAGCATTGTAAGCAATGATGGATAGTGGGTAACAGTGGAATTCAGGGCGCGTGTCACTGTCCTATTTGGGACTCATTAGTTGCATGTACCTAGCATCTCAGAGTTGATGTTCACACTAGGACTCAAACGCAGTACCATTCGCTTCAAACGCCATCGCATTTTCCAATTAGCTACTGAGTCCTGATAGCCAGCTGCTTGTGCAATGGGGGTGAAGTTTAAATTCACTTGGTGTTGTATTGCTTGTGTCATCCCATTGTTATTTAGGACTGCAGGCGCATCTAGCCAACGAGTCCCAAATAGGACGAAGTGACACGGGTCATGAATTCCACTTTTAGCCACTATCCATCTTTGCTTGAAAGGAATTAGTTGAAAAAAGAATACCATTTATGAAAACATGAGAATATCAAACAGTTAGTTTTAACTAATTCGAAGAAACATACAGTGAGGCATAAAATCTGTAAGACATCAATTTAAAAAAAATACATCATATTAGTATAAGTGATTCGTTATAATTATTGAATTTTACATTTTACATCAAGAACTTACCTTAGACAACCAGTAAAAACCAGGAGATTCTAAACAGTTGAGATGGTGGAGAAGATTTGTAGCTTAGGTGGATGATTTTGGTGGAATTTTTTTCTCTGAGCTGGATGACTTGGTCGTGTTTTTTTGTTACTGGTTGTTTCGACAGGTCGACCATGCAGCTGTTTGTGTTTTCTCCTATGAGTTGATTTGAGATCTCAATTAGTTTCTTCTTTGTTCTCTGTGTCGTTTGCATGATATTTCGATGTCTGTTGTCAAGATTTTCAAATCTTCTGACGTGAGTGCCCTTTGTAGTTTTATCTTTTGGTCCTCTATAACGTGTTGTTATTTGCGGATCCTGTAATATGCATCCGTTATCATTAGGTGTACCATTTTTCTGCCACTTTGCTCAGCTATTCTCCATCCCACGACCAAACTATCCAGCTCAGAGAACAAAACTACACCAAAATTCTAGACAGTTGTTTCATCGTAGCATAAAACTCCATAGTAGCGTAAATAAGGCTAAATCCTTCAAGTCTTATGGAGAGCGCTCAATTAGTTGCTAATCAATGGTTCATATTCAATCCATTGGTGATATTCTATAAATAGAAATGTTTTTTTCCTGGAGATTACATTTTTCGAAGTCGTACAATTGGATAATATATCATAATAATAGACTACCATAATGTTTATTACTAACAAATTATTACATTTTCAATAAACAATTTATTAAATCTCCTTTTTGATCATTTTAGGCAAGTAATCCTATAGCGTCCAATAATGAGAATGAGAATGATGATCATGATGATGATAACTCCATCGACGACGATGATAATGCTGCTGCTGATGATGATGATGATGCTGATAATGATGAATGTCTTATTAAAACTCAATCACAAAATAACTTCATTTCCACAAATAATACATCTTTTGAAGGGGACATTTTTAGTCCGTAAGTTACATTATATAAATTCACATAAACTGTGTTCTTTCTTTCTCTCATTTGAATTAGGTCGATTAGTGATTAAGAACAATTTATGTTTTATTATTCATAATTGTGCCCAATTCAAACCATATAACAGTTATAAATAAATAAATAGAAAACTACCGAATTTGTTATTAATATGCTCAATCAACAACAGGTAGGCTGAATAACCTTTTTATTTTAATCAAAGAAAATTGCTTATCTTTCTTTCTTATATAAACTGGTAACTATATTTAATGAATGATTTTCATTATGATCTGATTTCACTTGAAACATTCATAGAATAGTGACACTGTTGCTTCAGTCAGTCATTAGTTTGTAGAAAGAATGATATAAAGCAATCGCAATCGATTGATCACTGGGTAGTGATTAATGTCATGTGTGTCAAGTCCTTATTGGTGCAGATCGAATGCTATTGACCACGCTGCAATATGGCTACCAGTCTAGGTGACTTGATATTGCGTGCGCTATGTTGCGATTAAATGGTGGTTGGAGGAAGTCAACAGGAAACCCTGGACCTGGGTTTCGTGCTACTTGGCACTCGTTAGTAAGGTGTACCTGTAATCTTGAGGGAACTGGTGCTCCCTAACGGATTCGATCCCGTGTCGCCCAGCTTCACAGCCAGAGACGTTACCACTGGGCTATCCGGGTCGCGACCGATCTCTTGTAGAACTGAGATGTAATCACAATTGATTAATCAAAAGGGGGCTGACCAACGTCATGTGTGTTTCAATCTAATCTAATCTCAATGGTATCAAGCAATTTTATTCTCATAGTTTAAGGGAAGACAGAAAGTGTATACACCTACACCACTGTGATCGATTGTGAGCCATGTCACTCAAAGTTTCCAACTATTGGTTACGATAGTCATGCGGACCCCAACAAAGTAATCTGCATCTACCAACATGGTTCAAACTAGAAGTTGGTGACTTCAAGAACTGATTCCACGTTTTGGTTGATTTGTCCGACCCTAACTTTTTTCCAGCCGTCTCCAATACTAGTCAGCATTGCTTGTCGTGGTAATCAGTGTTCAGGCATACGTAACACATGACCCAACCATCTTAGTCGATGAATATTCACAACCTCATCAACTGATTTACCATCAACCCCTAATACCCTACATCTAAACTCACTACTACATACCCAGTGATCCTTGGAACAATACTAATCATTTAAAAATTGAATTGTTAATTTTCAAAACGTTTTTTTTTTAATTGAATTACTTAAACTGTAACATTGAGTTTAATATCTATAGTTACTATTTATAAAAGTATAAAGTTGTAAAAGATGAAAGTTGACAATATAACCTGTAACTTCTATCTCTTTTTGATGGAGTTTTGTTCTCTAAGCTGGATGGCTGAGTCGTTGATCTTTCATCTTTCTTCTTCATCGTTCAGAAGAACGATAAAAGCTCCACGAGCAAATCATCCAGCTCAGAGAATAAAACTTCATCAAAATCATCTACTTGAGCTACAAATCTCCATCAACTTCTATCTCTTTAAATTCATCAAAATCCATATGATACAGTTATATTGATTACAGTAAGTTCTCACGTTATTATTTATAGAATTTAATGAAAAAGATCAATCAATACATCAATTGTCTGAAAGTGACCATTTTTATAAAGAACTGCTTTATATCAGCATAATTTTTCATTGTTTAATCAATATCTCCTCTTCAAATTTCTATTTTCGTCTATCACCATTGAATATCACCATTTTGTATAATAAGAAAGAATTTCTATCCAAAGTTCCATAGAGCTTTTCCAAAAGCTTATCGATTCTGAGTGGAAGGATTGTGGATGCACGTTGCTAAGGTGTTCTACACTAGAAGAAAAAAAAAAGAAGAAACAAATATCTAATGGTTCGTGATAGTCACGCCAATAAGGTCAACTCTTTGTGTAGAATGAAACTTAAAAACGATAAACAAATGAATTAAAACTTATTCACAGAATACCTTTGAAAGTAGACAAAAGTTCAGCTTAGAAATCGATTAAATAAATGGAATGGAATGTATCACTGTATTTGAACATTTCAAGCTCATTGTAATGAATGATATCTGTTCAAAAGAATTTGTAATAGAAATTGAATAGACCAATGAATAACGGTATTTCGTTTCAAGCTCCAAGTTATTGTTTTAAATCCGGTTAACATTGTAGTGAACGAGAACACAATTGAGGACAATGGAATGTATTTGAGCACAAACTTACAAAATCTCTTAGTAAAATCTGAGAACCATAAAGTAAATAGTTCATTTGTAAAATTTCAATCAATTGTCTTAAACTTGACTGTTCCTTTAATAAATATCACTAAATCATCTCAGATTTCATTGTTCCTAAATTCTCATACCAATTGCTGTCTGTTCCCGGTCTTTCTTTCTCAACCTTCTGCCGCCTGACATTCTAATCCTGACTATCGTTCTATACTACTCATGTCGATATAAGTAGCACACACATCATAGTATGAAAAAAAGTTATTTATCTACATCATTTTAATTACTTACTTACACCTATTACTCCTCGTGGTAGAGCATAGGTCGCTCACCAGTACTCTCCATCCAACCCTGTCCTAAGCAATCCTTTCCAGCTATTTCCTGTTGTTATTCATCTTTTTCATATCTGCTTCCATTTCCCGACGTAATGAACTCTGTGGCCTTCTACTTTTCCGCTTCCCTTCAAGATTCCAAGTTAGGGCTTGCCCAGTGATGCAGTTTGACGAGTTGCGTAATGTGTGTCCAATCCATTTCCATCGTCTTTTCCTATTTTGCTTTCCAGCTGGTTGCTGGTTTGTTCTCTCCCACAGAAGGCTCTTGCTGATGGTATCCGGCCAATGGATGTTGAGTATCTTGCGAAGACAACTATTTATAAATACTTGTACATTCTTGATGATGGTTGTGGTAGTTCCCCAGGTTTCAGCTCCATACAGTAGAACTGCCTTGACGTTCGTATTGAAGATTCTCACTTTGATATTGGTTGAAAGTTGTTTTGAGTTCCGTATGTTGTTCAATTGTAGGAATGCGGCCTTTGCTTTGCCAATCCTCGCTTTTGCTTTTAATTAAGTCTAAATAGAATAATGAATTTGTATTCTGTTCAAACACATTTTTGACTATTATTCTACAATTGCCAATCATTTCTAGACTAGTTCATCAACTCTGATCATAAGAACTGATTTTAAACACTAATTATCAAATGAGATAATATCTGACTTAAACCAGAAACGTATACACATCAGAAATGCTAGTCAATCATTGTTTCAAACCAGATCTATGAGTCTAGAAAAGATCTAGTCAAGTTCAATTAAGCCATTTTTATTTGTTTAGTTGTTACCTTTGATCCAAGTGAATTATCCTATTGCACTGTTATGTAACATTTATTAATTTATACATTCATTTCTTTATACTTGAAAACACTTTCATTGAATAGTTAAGAGTGATCCAAAGCCTTTCTGTATTATGATAGACATGGACGTACATTAAATGTGCTATAAATACAATAGGACAAAATGAGTAAATGATACCATTGATTAGAAAATTCTCTTCTTTTCTTAATTGGAAACTAATTTCAGAAGAGGATTTTTGTGGATAATATAGTAATTTTAATAGATGAGTTCATGAGTCAATCGGAGTTAGACCAACATGAAGGACTTAGAAGCACTAGATAGCTGTTTTGTTCTATTGTTGGACTCCTCCTCAGCAGTGCGCATCCATGATCCCGCCAAGTGAGATTCGGATTCAGAACCTATCAGTCTCGTACGCGAACGCTTAACCTCTAGACCACTGAGCTGACTGGCATCCAACGGTGTTAATGTCTAACTTCAACCAGTCCACGAAAATGAGAGACACATCCGCCATTGTTTTCAGTGAGTTACTATCTCACAACAGACCTGGTTGAACTCAACTGGTCTCTGCTTCTCACTAGAACTCCAGGAAATACCTCTTGATGTCAGTCACTAGTGAGCGTACGTTGATTAATACGAGAAAGGGTTTTGTGGATATTATAGTCATTTGAATAGTTCAGATCATGAGTCAATTGATGTGGATACATACTGTCAAAGAGGAGTCCCACAATAAAACGAAAAAGCCATCCAGTGCTTCCAGGTTTTTCAAGATGATCTAGCTTCAATGGATCCATCATCTCAATTATTAAAATTAATCAATGTAAAACATTGTAATTATTCACAACTTATGAGAAAAAGAAATTATAAATTAAACTGTTACAAGTATTACAATTTCTATGCACAAGATCTGTGATATCTGCTACTTATATTGACAGATAAAAGTAGTATGTAACATTAATCCAAAGTGGAATGCCTAGTAATAGGAGATTGTTTGAAGAGAGAATTAAATACCGAAGAAATGTAAACCAATAACCATTTGAAATAACAATGAGAATGAAGTTTGTAAAAGATAACTAATGTAAGAGATATGAAAATTATGCATTTAATGTACAATTTTTAGATTTTATCAAAATGTTCTGTAATGTTGTATTAAACAATAAATTGATCTTTCAAATTTGACTTCTTCATTCACTTCAGATCTACAATATTACATCATTTAGAAAACACCGACGATATTTCATTGAGACCAGATAAACAATATTGAAGATTTTTTGAACTGTTGTAAAAAAAAATGTCAGCAGGAACTCCTGACCGAATAGTCTTTTTGTTTTGTTCCTTGAAATTAATTTTTGCGGTTCAGCCATATAGATTGGGTTGATAAACTCAAGAATAGAGTAAGTAGATAATATGATGACTTATTCCCATGTTTGTAGATTTCATTTACAGAATAGATTTACTACTGTCTATTATATTCTGTCATAGTATTTAGTATATACTAACCAGCAATCATATACAAGTTAAAACTTTCATATTAATCCCATTTAAACATTGTTCGGTGATATATAAATATATTTGGTTTCCCTTTATATTCATATTCACAACAACATAAACATATTTTGGTAGTTGAATTCATCAGTCAGTCTAAGCTAGACCATTATTGAAAATTTGCAATCACTAGACAGCCGTTTCGTCCTAGTATAGGACTTCTCAGCGGCGCTCATCCATAATTCCGCATCCGGGATTCAAACATAAGGTTTCTTACCATGTACACAAACGCTTAACCTCTAAACCACTGCTACAATCTCCAAAAAGATGAAAATTATTAATATCACTAATTCACAATCACAATAGTTTAGACTATACTTCACTTTCAGACATAACACTTGAATTATGAACATAGCAACACAATCTACACATTATTAGAAAGGATTGTTGTACGTCCAATTGATAAGTACCAAATAGAATGAAAAAACATGCTAAATTTGACTGAAAGCGCACAATCATTCTAGTCTATAAAAAAAAGCAATTGTTAGTGAGACTATAATTTATGGATGACTATTTGAGAGACACTGAAGTGACCTTGCAAGTAGACACTTTTTGAGGGTTATAAAGCAGTTAGAATTTTCATTTACAGTTGATGATTAAGATTAGGAATAAGATTTAGCGTTTTCATCACGAACTTATATCAGCTATAATGCCAAAATTCTATTTAGCCAAATTTATGCATGAATTTCGCGCCAAAATTCATTACTCGTTATCTTATACATGATTGGCTCGTCCATAAATTATAGTCTTGTCCAATTGATTACAAATGAAATAATTACCTATCTCGTTATCATTGAACAACGCCAAGTGAATATAACTCCAGCCCATTGCACAGGCAAGTGGTTATCAGGACTCAGTATCTAGGTGGAGAACGCAACGGCGTTTGAACCGAACGGTACTAGTTTCGAGTTCCAGTGTGAACATCAACTCTGAGATGCCAGGTACATCCAACTGACGAGTCCCAAACAGGACGAAGTGACACGCGTCCTAAATTCCACTGTTACCCACTATCCATCATTGCTTACAATGCTTGTGACTTCAAGCTATATCGAGGCAGTCCGCACAGGATGCACACATGATAATATGAGATTGATCAATTACAGTACTAAATAACAATTGGAAGATACAAGTAAAACTGCATCAAAACTATATTTACTTGTTATTAAATTCATTTGAAATTCTTAAAACAATCTACAATCTATGATCAATTCTAATCATTATACAAGTAGTTGATATGTTTGTCAAAACTTCTTTTCTTTTTTAAAGGAATGATGATATCATCAGTTCAACCTTATATCTAACTCAAGTTTTTGATAAAGAATCCCCTAGTGACAAACAAGTACAACAAATAGATAATAAAATAAATATAATAAATAATAATCCAATTGATTTATGCCAAGATAATCCTTTTATGTATACAATATATGAAATGAATCCGTTTAATTATAAAAACAATTATATCATTACTAATACTAATGATGATAGTGATAACAGTAATAACAGTACTACCACTACTACTACTACTACTAATAGTAGTATTCAAGATACATCAAGTACTTTAACAAAACACTACTCGACTAATATTCTCCTTAATAATAATAATAATATTCCAATCGATTTATCATTGTTACAACAGCATGATGTATGGTCTTCCCCAAATGATTCCATTAAATTAATCAATTCAAATAGTGATATAATAATGAAACAAAATATTGAAACTGAATTTCAACAATATAAAGAACATAAAGAAGTATTATTAACAAACTATGAAAATAATAATTATACTAGTGAATCTAGTAATGATACAATGGAAATACAAATTATATCTAGCGATGAAGATGACGTTCATAATAATACTACTACTACTACTAATGATGATGATGATATTGATATGAAGGTGACAGCATCTATTCAAGGTAATGTTCACCTTTTTTGTTATTACCGGTGAAAATTACTAAAATAGTTTGAGGTTAGATATTAACACTGTTGGATGTCGACTGGCTCAGTGGTCTATAGTAGATTGAGCGTTCACGAGCGAGACTGAAGGTCTTAGGTTTAAATTTCGCGAGTGGGATCGTAGATGTGCACTGCCAAGGAGGAGTAACATGATAGGACGAAATGGCCGTCCAGTACTTTCAGGTTTTCCATGGTGGTCTAGCTTCAATTTACTCATGATCTCAACTATTGAAGTTACTACAATCTCCACAAAACCCCTTCCGATACTTATATATAATAACTTTTTTTTACATACAATGATTCATAATAGGAATGGAGAATTTTGTTCTCTGAGCTGGATGGTATGGTGGTGGAGCTTTCATCGTTCTCTTCCGAACGACATCATCAGCACAAACTTCAGGTAGAAGCAGTGGAGAATTAATTTGTCATCAACAAGTATTAAAAGAGTAACCAGAGTTTAATAACACATAGATAATTGACTTTGATGATTATAAGGTTGATAAAAATACAAAAGAATATATCAAAATAAGATAAAGAATAGTGATATGGAAGATAATTCTTCACTTAAAGAATACAGACAGGAAGATGAAGAGCGAAGAGGAAGTCCACCTAGGAAAGTTGGAAAACCCTGATTCCGAACCAATGGTGCACATGGACTCCATGATCCTGAAGGAACAAATGGCATATGAACCAATCGTTGGTCACCGGCTACCATGGGACAACATCTCTTTATGTTGCTCCAATGCATTATGGATTCGACCTTTAGGTCAAATGCTCGGGGTGTGACCCCCTAAGAAAACCACCTGCTTCAGTTTGGGTACCCGAGCAGTATCCCAGCCCCCACACAAATGGAGTGATTTATGTGGCGCATATCTATTTGATGCCTCCTTGTACCCATGTTTATGTTTCTAAATAAATAAATAGTAAATAAATGAAGAGCGAAAACCAATAGCGTGTTAAAAGTTAATTTAGAAAAATATGAGATGTTAAGATCATCATAAACTAAGAGACTGAACAAAACGCTTCTAAGCACATATAGATCAGGTCTGAACTGACAATATGTTTGGAAAGAGTATGATTCATAAACTCAATATAACAAAACCTACACGAGTACATTCTTTTTGTTAAAATATCTTCATCTTGTTATAATGATTCAATGGGGGGACTTCGGTTATTTTAAAATCAACACACATAATTATAAGAATACCTACTGATTTTATAGATCATTCATCTGTCAATGGTATTGAAATTTCAGTCAGTCAGTCAGTAACAACGTAGAACTTCGTACGTACGTGCATCAGTTCGAGTTGCCATACCACATTAGCACAGAGATGCAGATGTCGATTCAAATCCCGTAGTGGTAGAGCTAATAAGAGTATAAGCAGTAATCGGGAAGATTAGGGTTTGGAGATGTTATTTAAAGAGTATAATCCAGTGAAATAAATTTGGGAAGAGAAAAAAGAGACAAGGAGGATTCAGGAGATTAGAATTTGGGAGAACACAAAGAGTGGATACACCTGCGCCATTGCAAACGATTTTGAGCCATGTTATTCAGGGTCTCTAACCATCGGTTGCTATTATCTCGCGGTCCCCAACCAGATAGTCTACACCTACCAACATGGTTCAGTCCACTCTTCAGTGACTTATTCCTCACCATATACCTATTATTATTATTAAGTTATTTCCGATTCTTTTTTCTTTATAGGAATTAATGATTTATCATTGAAATCTAAAAATTATCATCATCATCATCGTCAGAAGCCTGAAAAATTGATTAGTCCAATTACATCACAACAATTACAATATTGTCTCAATAAAGGTAAATAATAAATATTATGATAATATATATACATATATATATGATTTATACGAATATTCGTCAAGATTAGAACGAATAGTTTGACAGTAATTGAGCGCCGAGTATAGAGAAGTCATTATATGTGAAAACTATATTTGAAATATTCTCAGCGATTGAAATATAACTAATTCCAACGTTTCTTCCAGCTAACTTGTCTGGACTTCTTCAGGGTGATAATCAAAATCAAAATTATCAAAGACATATATATAGCTTTTTAACAATCAGGATTATACTGTGTTAAACCAATCATATTTGGATGTTGATTTTTGTAAATGAGTCAGTTGACTACAAATCATGTGAAGAATTCAACTACATGGAAATACTTAACTGAGTAACCAAGTTGTATGTGTGTGAGTGTGTGTAGGTATGTATGTACGTGTGAGAGATTGATATGAGTTTATTGATTGTAAACAATATAATCTATTTTTGTGTTACATCTATAAAGAAAAATAAGAGAATATGTCAAGGTCAAGTGATACTACTTAAATTAGTTACAAGCCAAAATAATCGGATGTTTTGATGACCTGCGAAACAAAAAATTCAGAAATAAATTTAATTGTAAATTCATGCGGACACTTATCATTATGGTGTGATATGATTTTAAACAAAACAATGGATAGCTCAGAATCAATTAGACGATTTGGACTTCGCAGATGACCTAGCCCTCCTATCGCATACACACGAACAAATGCAGATAAAGACAACTCGTGTAGCAGCAGTCTCTGCATCAGTAGGCCTCAACATACATAAAGGTAAAAGCAAGATCCTCAAATACAACGCGGAGAACATCAATCTAATCACACTTGATGGTGAAACTTTAGAAGATGCGGAATCTTTCATATACCTGGAAAGTATCATTGATGAACAAGGATGATCGGATCCAGATGAAAAGGCGAGGATTGGCAAAGAAAGGGCCACATTCCTACAATTGAACAACATACGGAACTCAAAACAACTGTAAACCACTGTTAAAGTCAGAATCTTCAATACGAACGTCAAGACAGTTCTACTGTATGGAGCCGAAACTTGGAGAACTACCACAACCATCATCAAAAAATGTACAAGTATTTATAAATAGTTGTTTTCGCAAGATACTCAACATCCATTGGCCGGATACCATCAGCAAGAGCCTTCTGTGGGAGAGAACAAACCAGCAACCAGCTGGAGAGCAAATTAGGAAGCGATGATGGAAGTGGATAGGACATAAATTGAAGAAATCAGCTAACTGCATCACGAGGCAAGTACTGACTTGGAATCCCGAAGGGAAGCGGAAAAGTAGAAGGCCAACGAGCACATTACGTCGAGAAATGGAAGCAGATATGAAAAGGATGAATAACAACTGGAAGGAACTGGAAAGGATTGCTTAGGACAGGGTTGGATGGAGAGTACTGGTGGGAGGCCTATGCTCCACCACGAGGAGTAACAGGCGTAAGTCAGTAAGATTTTAAACAAAGTCTAGGACTAGAAAAGAACATCCTGGAAAGGATGGGATAGTAGCATTACACCATATTGTTGGAAATAGGTGTCTACTTAACCTAGAAAAACTACAATAAATAACAGCAAAATTAACAAAGCTCAATTGGATCTATAAATGTTTCAAAAAAGACATATTAAACTATTTAAATTATAGAGTTTGGAAACTATGAGTTACGATTTAGTGGACGAGAACACAAGTGGAGACAATCGAATGCATTAGAACATAAAATTACGGAATCTCTTAGTAAAATCTGAGAATCATATAGTAAATACTTTATATGCAAAATGTCAATCAGTTGTCTCCGACTTGACTGTTCCTTCGTTTCCATACCAATTGCTTTCTGTTCCTGTTCTTTCCTCCTCGATCTTCTTGGCCTTCTGTTGTCAGACATCCTATTCCTAACTAGCGTTATATACTACTTATGTCGATAGAAGTAGCACATATCATAAGGGTACCAGGTCAAACAAAGATTAACAATTATTTCTTTTTATGCATAAATCAAGTTTCTGAAGCTTTCGAAAATAATCAAAAACTAGGTCTTAGTTGTTCATCAATCATTTAAAAAAATTTTATGTTACTCACCAAGTGTATCCAAGATATGTTCAGAAATTATATTATTCAACTTCCTTACTCCTTTTTTGAAACAACTTCTTGTTTCTTCTCATTCTACAAATATAATTGCTTTAGAAAGTACAGATCAAGTTTTAGCTGCGATTTACAATATCATGTAAAGGGTACAATGGGCCTTTAATTTGTTTGTTGAATATTACTGGTCTCATGACATGTTAAGCTCTAATTACTGAAATGTCAAGTCGTCTGCCCAATGCTCACCTAACATTACCAACTCCTACAAATTGAAGCGGATAAACGTCGCTTCCTAATGACCATCTCACACAAATTTAAACATAGATCAGTTAGTATTTCAGGCAATATCTATAACATTGAACTAGCATTCCATATAGATGACCTTGTTAATGAGTTTTAACCAGCACAAAATGTATGTTATTGCTTTCTCATCGATTATTTGAAATCATTCAACAGCAAACAAATTTCAATGTGACGCCACGTAACTGAACCTATTGAAGACCTTGACTAGACTATAGTTTGTATTAAGGCTCAAGCAATGTGAAACTGATCACCAATCAATTATCAATAAGTGTCAAGATTATTACATAATTATAAATCATGACAGTTCAACAAACTGCATTAAATGCTTCATTTACAAATCTTCCATTAATTTCCCTTTACATTCTGTATGATTTTTCTAATTCATAATTTCTTTCTATTTCCTTTTCTTTTTTCTTCAATTCGATCTTCATAGATTTCTGCTGCTATACGTTTCGCTTCTGATTAATGTTATATACTACTTATGCTGAAAGACATAAGTAGTATATGCCACAATAGTTGCTATATTTTCTATTTACACAGTACATAATTTTATCGATATACTAAGTTGATGAGAATCTGATATCTGTATTTATTGGGACTTTCTTTAAAAATTAGTTTAGAACTTCAAGTGTAAACAATACTTAGAATTTATCCAACCTATAGGGTTTGATATGACTGGCTAAATAAGTAAAACAGTAAATTGAGAAACTTATTCTAGTCAAATTGTATAGTAGTAGTATTGTAGTATTGAATCAAACTGATTCAATCTGACACTATTAAATTTAGAACTAACTGATTCATAGTAGACAAAATGATATTTTGATATGTAATGAATATATGGACGTATTTAAAAACAAGTTTAGCGTTATATATTCATTTACTTATCTGTTCAAGAAAGTCTCTTAAATATTCCTTATTTACCCGACCGTTGTTGCTACTTTGACGTGGTAGTCGGGCTCGCCCATCGTGATGAACCAATCGATGTATACTAGCTGGAACAATCGTTTGTTAATGTCCTACCATGCCAGACAGGTAGGTTGAAGAACAGTAAGACCAAAAGCATCAAGCCCAAGGCCATAAGGTGAAGTCGTACTGCTGACTATACAGAGGTGTGACGACAGTAAAGCTTTTCCTTCAGAAAACCAGCATAACAGTGATGCTACCTTCCCACAAGGAGTGGTGGAGTTAGAAAAGATCGACCCTGAAAATACACACCTCGCCTTATCCCACGGATTTCCTTCTCGGGCGATAAGGTCTCAACAAGTACGAAGCTAAGACGGCCTCAAGCAGTTGTTCCTTGAGCACTGCGTTCACGCTTTCAAATCACCAAGACCACCTCTAACCCAATTTTTTTCAGGTACCTCTACAAGAATCCTTACACGGTGTGGGCAACCGGGAAGTGATAACCACCCTCATACCTCTAACAGCACTCAAGATCATTGATTCCTTATTTAAATACATTATGCATCATAATTCAGAAAGAGGAAACTTTTTAGGAATGTTTCTTTTTCGTTGATTAGCCTTTTCTAGTGAAATTATATTTTACATTATGCTAGAAAGTTTAATCATGTCGTTTTTTATTGTTTTGTTTGCTAAATTTCATCATTAACATAAATGTAAACAAAGAAGTGAGCAATCACAATTTCTCTATAAGTGACCAATAGCTTCTTGTGTTGACAGTGAATTTCCATGATTGTTGTCAATAATTGTGCCACCAATGTTTAAATGTTTGATCCAGTTACTTTCTTTTCCTTTAATCTAATTTTTTACTTTGTCATTATTTCTAAAATCAGAGAAGGCAACTTGATGAGACTAAAATTTATGGACAACCATTTGAGCGACGCTATAGTGACCTTAAGAGCGTCCACCTAATGACTAGGACCAAATGAGGGTTATAAACCTATGTGAGGAATTCGAATTATGATTTACAGTTGATGGTTAAGGTTAGGAATTAGATTAAGGGTTTTCATCACAAACTGAAATCAGCTATAATGACAAAATTCTATTTATCCAAATGGATGGGTGAATTTTGAGCCGAAATCCGAGATCTTTTATATTCGTGCATAAATTATAGTTTCGCCGGCAATTTCATAAAAATCATACTCCGGAGTTACATTTTGATGGTTTTGTTTCTTCTCCAGCACAAAAATAAAATACAGCATACCCAATTTCTCTATGATAAACTACAATTATTCTGTCATTTTGGGATTTCATATATTTCGAACACTTCGAGTAACCATTTCTAATGTCTCATCATTAGTATTGTGTAATCATTCGTAAACACTGAATCGTTTATCCCATTATACATCACTATTTTCCTAGAAATTTGATTCATGAAAACTCCACAACCAAGCTAAATCGTGTTTGCATTATTCAATGAAATTGATTTTTTATCTTTATTAGTATTTTAGTAGTAAATAATTCTTTTTAAATATAAATTATTTTCTGATTGAAATGAGTCACTTGGAGCTAGACCACCATGGAAAACCTGGAAGTACTGGACGACCGTTTCGTCCTAGTGTGGGACTCCTCCTCGTGAGAAAATCCTCGGAGTTCTGGTGAGAAGCTGTGACCAGTGGAGCTAATCCGTGTCGGGTAGAAACAGGTGTCCACCTCAGTACAATGGAAGATGGTAGCGCAATTTCGTGGATTGATTGAGGTTAGACATTAACACCATTGAATGCCAGCCGCCTCAGTGGTCTAGTTGGTTAAGCGCCTAGCGCGAGACTGATAGGTCCTTGGTTCGAATCTCGCGGGGTGCAGGATCGTGGATGCGCACTGTTGAGGAATCCCACTATAGGGCGAAACGGCCGTCAAACAGTGCTTCCAGGTTTTCCATGATGGTCTAGCTTCAATTGACTCATGATTTCAATCAAAAACTTAACAATCTCCACAACCCCTAAACTGATAAATTATTTTCATTCCATTTTTTAGCTCTTCTTAGAGCATCACATAATGGTTTAATTAATTATATTGAATTATTGTTAAATACTGGTGCAAGTATACATGCATTAGATAAATATGGAAGATCATGTTTACATTTAGCAGCAAAATTTGGACATGTGAAAGTTATTGAATATCTCTTAAAGTACAGTGAGTTTCATACAAATAATTAATCTCTCTCTTCATATATTCTTTTTGTTTCGTTAAAAATTCAGATAAGAATAACAGTATTAGTAAGAGTTTAATTTATACTTGGAGGACAAGTTAACTGATATTTGTACTTGGTGGTCGATCAATAAATAACGTGTTATACCTGAAGCAAAAGATATTAGGTTCAGAATCCCATATGAATATAAATATCGAAATGATGGTACATCTGAATGATGAATGCTAAATTAGACAAAACTTCCATTTATTATAAAGTTAATAATATTTGAAAAGTATTGATCACTGTAAGTGCTGGGATTGGCTTAGATTGTGTTGTCATGTAACCTTCATCGCCAATTCAAGCTAGTTAGGAAAGTCAATGAAACCGTGTAACATAGAATGACTGTCTCGACCAAACACTAGGACTCTTTGGCGATGCATTCGTCCAAGATATATTTGCTTATAATACTTGTGAATGAAGGCAATATGCGCAGTATGCACATATACCGATGAGAGACTGATCAATTGCAGTCCTAATCATCAATGGGAAGACCCAAGTAAACAATACCAAGTGAATTGAACTCAGAATGTTTATTTTTTGATTTAAGCACAATTTTGCGACATCCTGGTAAGAATACAATAGCTTGGTTTCTAAACTTTTGTGCTTCATAAAAGTCGACTGTACACATAGATCTACTTTCTGGTTTCATTGGTTATCTAGCTGACTTCAGTGGATCGTGTAAATTCAACTTTCAAAACTAAAATAATTATCGAAATTCCTTTCACTCAAACAATTATATCTAATTATGTATCTTACCGACTGACCTGAGTTCTAAACTTCCTTATCATTCTCTCTATCCAATATTTCGACATTTCTTCAGTCGAACGTGTTTATAATCATCCACGTGCATTGATATGAACGATGTCAAATTGTGGCGTTTGACAGCTAGTTGTTCATGCAAACGAAGATGGTGGCGACAACTATTTTATCCAACATTGTTAATTTACTTTTATATTCTGTAATGTGAAGGCCATTAGTTGTCACCATTTATTAAGATACATCTATTTTTGGGACTGATGACTAAACAAAACACTTCTACCTGAAGAGGGGGAGTTCGCTCTCCCTCTAGAAATGCTCTCACATGACCACGCGTATACAGCCACTGTCAGGAAAGTCCTACTCACTGCCTTCTCGATGGAGTGTTTACGAAATTGAGAGGACTAAAAGCGAGTATCCCGTGCCTTAACCGGGTTGGTGGATAGGGACGATCCATCTAAGGGAGTTCGAAAACCGTCATTCCAAACCAATCGTGTATATGGGCTCCATGATCCTGAAGGAACAAATGAAATATGAACCAGTCGTTGGTCACCGGCTACCATGGGACTGCATCTCCCTACGATGCTCCACTGCCTTGTGGGTTAGACCTTTAGGTCGAAGGCTCGGGGTGCGGCCCCCTAAGATAACCACCTGCTTCGGTCTGGGCACCCAAACAGTATCACAGCCCTCACATAAATCAAATTAAATTTGTGTGGCACATATGTATCTGGTGGCCCCTTGTAACAATATGTCCAAATAATAATAATAATGTTGTTCAGAAATAAAATGAAAGCTCCACGACAGCTATCCAGCTCGAGAAACGAGACTCCATCATGTAAAGCTCTAATCAATAAATAAATCTCTGGTTCCCATTTATAGTTCACTGATCCAAGTAACATTTCATTAAAAAGTTTACAATTCACTTAGATTTACACTTATAGATGATTAGATATTAACAGACTAATTGCAAATTTCATTTCAGTTCCAGAAAAACTAATCGACTTACAAGAATATGAAAAGTAAGTATCGACCTTCTTAATTGTTTAATGTTTATATATTCTAACTTAAATAAACTCATTAACCAGGTATTTGAGTATACCGAAAAAGGAAACGTGCGGAGCAGGCTTCAAGGCAAGGACTTAGTGGCCGAATATAGAATGCCTTGACGAAATCTAGCAACAATAACCATAGACAAGGGAGTATACATACTCCCAAAATAACATATTAACCATTCATCTAGCATGTAGACACGAATGTCCAGAGAAATATCTAATCATTTACTTCTTGTACATGAAATGTATTCGAACTATCCAAGCTTTATTATATGATTATGAAGTTCATAAATAGCAAACATTCATATCTTATTCAAAATCAAATAATACCGAAGATAAGTCTCAATAGCATGGTGCTCAGTCTAAAATACTTGAGGTAATTAACAGTTGAAATAATGGGATAAGAAAATCACGCTAACCGGGAGAACAAAAATAGACAAAAATGTTACAGGAGAGCCTCTTGAAAATATATAGTTAGTTAATAAATATCTAGCACTGACCAAAGTAAAACTAGCATAGAAATAGCATCGACTAAGCAATTTGTTTAACATATCAGCCAGAAAGTCTGTACGTTTGACAAAGTATTTGAAAAATACAATTTAGAACGACAGTTTAGGGAAACTGGTTCACTTTCAAAATTGTGAGGTACATCATACTCTGAAACAGATTACTGTAAAAATAAGACGCAACCTTTAATCAAGCATGTATGCTAATTCCATATAAAATATTTCAAATGTTCATTTTGTCTTTCTCTCAGGAACCAAACAGCACTACATAAAGCCGCGGCAAGTCGAAGGAGGGTCATCTGTAAAATCCTAATCACAGCTGGAGCCTGCCCAATAATTACTGATATTTATGGGAAACAACCAAGTAATTTGGCATTAAAAGCAAATGACCCACAACTTGCTACTTACCTAAAAAGTAAGTCGATTACAATTATAAAAACATCGATAGCAAAATATGAATCTCCTGTCAATAATAGAGCACTTGTCATTTCTTTTCTAGGAGAAGAAATATTGTTCATTATTAAAAATGGAGTTGAGAAAGTAGATGTGTAAAGTGGACGAATGAAGTAACTTTGCAACGCATTCCAAACAACCAACTAACATTTCCCATCTTTAGAATAGAACTCTTGCACAATTTAGTATAAACTATTATTTATTTCTGTCTAGTAGTATCTCCATAGAATCTCTTAACCGAGAAACTTTTGTATTCCATTATAATTACGAATATATTATCAATAGAAATATTGTGCTTTTAATCTGAATAAAATTTACAATATTCGCATCCGATTTAACAAGGAACCATTACAACTATGATTTAAACAACTGAATAAATGACAATAATAGATGCCTAAATACAATGAAAAACATAACTGAGCTTTTACAGAAAAAAAATATATAAATAAGGGCTGTCATTTCATCCTTCTCTTAGAGAGCAGTCTCATAACTTTTTTTTGTCCACCAAGCCTAATTGTAAAACCCTAATATTGAGCTGGACAACCTTTAGTCCTATTAAATAAATAATCCACGTTTTTTTATTGGTGTCAGTCACGAAATCCAATTAGTAAAAGGAGGGGAGCAACCCACAGCAAAGAATTTTATAGAAAATATGAACGTCAAAGTGCTTAAAAAAGTATATTGAAACAAGTAAATGCTTTTACAAAACTTCTCCGCGATAATAAGTGGTTATCTGGGATAGATACCATGAGTCAGATTGCGTCTCAATGATATCCAGGAGGAGGTGGAGGTGGAGGAGGAGGATATCCTCGTACAGCGGTGACAGTTGGCATTCCACGACCGAACGCCGCAGTTGGTGCGCCTGCAGGGGGAGGAGGTGGAGGTGGCATGCCAGGAAGCGCTCGTGGCTGCATTAGACCCGGTGCTGGTGCTCCGACTCCCCAAACTGGCCCACCTAAACCAGCGGGTGGAGCTGGGGCAATAGCTGCTGCTGGGGTCGCAAGGGGCATACCGCGCCCGACAGCAATACCAGTCAATGGCTTAACTCCAGTTGACCAAGCACCTGCTGTAGGGAGAGGAACTCGGGCGGCATCTTCAGGAGGTGGGGGACCATCTACATTCATAGTAACCTAAACAAATAATTTAAAGATAAATTTAGGAGAGCTCAATAAGTATAAAAACACTGTGAATAATATAAAACCCTATTTTGGGAGATTCGAGCTTATGAATGATAGATTAGTAGTAATTAAATAGATTAAGTGACAACTAAGCATCAGTACTAGAAAAGCAATAATTTACAAATAGATCATTACCAGAAAAACCAATACTTAACCGTCAACACACGGTTTGTTAATTTATTACTCAGTTGAATGAGATAAGAATGAATATCGGAGATAACGGATTAGATAATTATAAGAAACGTGTTATAAACATGATTATTTTACATATCCAAATAAAAGTTCCAAAATGAAAACTATCCAAAATAGCAAAGCTTTTACCTTAGAAAAGGTTAGAAAATTGAAGATAATAATTTGTGACGCTAGCAAACGTAATGATAGACTTCTAAAGATAGCCCATCTGAAGTAGATTACAGTCAGATCTGCCGTCCATCGTTTTACCAGGTAGGATTGAGATATTCGGGGTTTAAGTCATCTAAGCCTCTTTTCAGTTTAATTACCGTCACCTAAGGCGGTACACTGCACACTCAAAGAAGCCTGTAGAGTTCAAAATCACAAAACATGTAGTGATAAGTATCGACAGCCATTTGTTTCCAGCAGCTACTAACTTAGAACGTTAAAGTCTGATCAGAACAATTGATAGTTATCACAAGATAAATCACTAGTATCCAGTTGAAAAGGACAAATAACCCAACCCTTTTTAAGTACATACTTAGATGTCATACTTAAAAAGAGTTTAATAATACTCCTGACCAGTCAGCTACAACGTAGGACCAGGCACATATGTGCATCGGTCCAGGTTGCCATACCGCATTATCATAGCAAGATGAACACCGGATTCATAAGAGTGGTTAGGTCAATGGTAGTCATATATAGAGGAAAGACTGCATATAAGGATGTAGTATAGGAAGAAAGAATTAGTTAGTAGAAAGAAAGATATGAAGCAATTCTAATCTCTTAGTTTAAGGGAAGACAGGGAGTGTATGCACCGACGCCATTGTGATAGATTCTGAGCCATGTCACCAAGAGTCTCCAACCATCGGTTACGAAAGTCACGCGGACCCCAACCAAGTAGTCTGCATCTACCAACATGGCTCTGACCTGAAGTTAATGACTTTGTGAACTGATACCACGTTTTGGCTAGTTTGTCCGCCCCTAACTTTCTTCTTATCAACTCCAACACTAGTCAATATTGGTTGTCGTGGTAATCAGTGTTCAGGCATACGTACCACGTGGCCCAACCATCTCAGTCGATGAAGATTCACAACCTCATCAACTGATTTACCATCATCCCCTAATACCCTGCGTCTAACCTCACTATTACTTACCCGGTGATCCCACCAGACGCCAGCAATATTTCTAAGGCATCTGTGGTCAAATACTAGTAGCTTACGAGTGCCTTCTACTCTTAATGGCTATGTTTCGCTGCCGTGAATTAAAACAGAACGGACTACCGCGCAGTACACTCGTCCCTTTATAGATGGATATCTTGCCTTCGCCACAGGTGACGTAAGTTGGCAAAAGCCAAACGAGCTTTTCGAATCCGTGCTGAGATTTCGTCAGACCCCAACCCATTAGGGCTGATTAGACTTCCAAGTTAAGTGAAGTTGTCAACGCGTTCGACTACTTCACTCCCTATCCTTAGTTCAGGTATTGACACAGACCAGTCCTGAAGCAACAACTTGCATTTAGAGGGAGAGAAGCGCATTCCAAACATTCTGGCATTGTTGCTTAGTGCTACCAAAAAACTGCATTTTGTCAGCGTCTTCACCAAACAGGACTATGTCATCTGAGTATTTTAAGTCGATAATTAGACCTCCTGGAAGGAGGTCAATACCCGAGAATTCAGTCGACGAGAATGTTATTTCCATCAGTAGGTCTATGATGAAGTCAAACAAAAATGGAGAAAGTGGACAGCCTTGACGGACACCACTTGAGGTTGCAAAAGCAGATGACAGTTCGCTATAAGCTCTGGCTCGACTAGTAGTGTTCGAGTCAAGAGCCTTCACAAGGTTTATGTACTTCTGAGGTACGCCTTTCAATGACAGACACTGCCACAGAATATCGCAATGTACAGAGTCAAATGCTGCTTTCAAGTCAAGAAAGACCACCATTGTCGGACGCCGATAAGTATGGCTGTGTTCTAGAACCTGACGAATGGTGAATATGTGGCCGATGAAGCCACGACCAGGTCTGAAGTCAGCTTGGTTCTCTCGTGTTTGCAGTTCACGAGTCTTAGTTAGGCGTCTGATAATTATCGAGGCTAGTATTTTAGATACTATATTAGTTAAACTAATCCCTCTATGATTGTCACAGGTTGATTTTAACCCTCTCTTATATATTGGGACGATAAGTGATCGTGACCAGTCAGATGGAATAACGTCTAACTCCCAGATCTTAGCTAAAATATTAGTCAACCTAATCGCTAAAATTGGACCACCATCCTTAAAGACTTCTGGAGCCAATCTATCTGGACCAGCTGCCCTTCCTTGTTTCAGATTAACTATGGCCTTTTGAACTTCAGCTAGAGTTGGGGGACCTACTTCAATGTTCCATTCACAGTCTGGGAATGGAGGGTAGTTGTAGAGTAGCTGAAGGCCAGTTGAACTGTTCTCTAAAATGTTTCGCCCATCGTTCTAAACGTCTGGACTGGGAGCAGATGTGTCGTCTTTTCCCGAAATAGTCTCACCTACAATCGACTTATTAATTCCAGTTTCTTTTATTAGTCTGTAAAGAGTTTAATAATACTCCTAATGAACGAAAAACTGTGGACTTTATTTTCGCTACTCCCTCTACAAAATTGACATGACTCCATTAGGATGAACAGAAACTACTTTTTATGTAGGCGATATCCACCTCTATTTGCTCGACTACTCAAACTGAATTCGAACAGGGTATAGAGCTAAGCTGTTTGGAAGTGGAGTACCAAACGTTAAGATGTTCACGGTATCTTTTAGCAGCTTCAATTGATGTGCATTCACAGTCATCATCCAGTAATGAATGCATCAAGTTATTACCAACTAGGTAGTTTTATTAGTGGTGAGGAAGCTTCGAGGATACTAGTAATCAGGTCTCTCAGTCAGTCGGTCAGCTACAAAGTAGGACCAGGCACATATATTCATCGGTCCAATTTGCCACACCTCACTACCACAAGATCAACACCGAATTCACAAATTAGTTAATTCAATGGTGGTAATATATAAAGGAAAGATTGCATATAAGGATATAGAACAGGAAGAATTAGAGCTTAAAAAGAAAGATATAAAACCTTTTTAATCTCATAGTTTAAGGGAACACAGAGAGTGTATACACCTACGAAATTGTGACCGGTTCTGGGCCATGTCACGCAGTCTCCAACAATTGGTTACGAAAGTCACGCGGACTCCAACCAATTAGTCTGCATTAGTGAGAGTGTAATTTATGGACGACCGATGAGCGACGTTTAAGTGACCTTGAGTGTCCACATAATGAGGGTTATAAACCTGTGTGAGGAATTCGAATTATGATTTACAGTTGATGGTTAAGGTTAGAAACTAGATATTCATCACTAACTGACATCAGCTATAATGCTAGCTGACTGACTGACGATAATGCCAAAACTCTGTTTATCCAAATGGATGGATGAATTTGTTACCTTATACATGATTGGTTCGTCCATATATTATATTCTCGCCGTCCGCATCTACCAACATAGCTAAGACTAGAAGTTGGTGAATTTAAGGACTGATGCTACGTTAAATCTGGTGAAATATAGCATCGTTGTGAAACACACACCTCTACATAAACTTATACTTCCCAGGCGTCGTAAGAAATTAACAGTTTATATATACTTGAGAACGAGTAATCCAACGTAAAATGAGTGAAAATAGAGACAAATAGAGACAAATTGGACTGTAGATGAGAAACAAGACATCATTGTTAACAACGGAGAGTTGGTAGCTTTGCAATTTAACAGGGATTCCCCGGAACATACATGAATATTATGGTGTATTAAAACGTAGCCAGGTTAGCAAGGAAATTAAACTAAGTTCTAAATTAACTCAGGGTCTTTGCAACTAAATGGTTAATCCAAGAAGACAATGAAGCACAGCTCCTTATGCAGTGAATTTTAGTTCGAGTAGCATTGGAAATAATCAACTCTGAAAGTTTCTTAATAAACTTGCAACACTCGTAAGACGTGTTAACTATATGACTACAGATCCATACTTGGAAAACAGAGTAGTGTCCATAGAAAATATGTAGTTGTCACATTATAGTATTAACATAAGACCAATTACTAAGTTCGTACAGTCTTGTTGACCAGAGTACTGAATTTCAAGCATACAAAGAACAAGCAGAGTTCGAGTTTCGAATTAAGTCTGGAATTTGAGTTTTCATTCATGACCGATTTATATAGAGGGAGATTTCCACACTTGCAATGTTTTGGAATCCTCAATGACGCAGATTGGCTGAAATATGACTAACGTCGTAAGGGACGTTGATTCAGCTATCTTTAATGGCTTTTTGGAAGTTGAACATTATTTTAATATTAATGTTGCACCTGTTTAGTGCGTATTACACTTTAAATAACATTTGTACGGTACATGACAACAGAATTATATAGCAAAAAAGTTACTTACAACATGTTCACCTCGCAAAAGAACAAGGCCTAGAGCCCGTTTTTCCTGGCGATCCTTGTCTTGCTTTGCTGTCTTGTTTTTGACTTGGCGAAACTCGTCGCAATCGCACAATATTATATTCATGTGACGATCGAAAGCTTTGAACGTCCCTACTAGTTGCCGGCCATCTTGCATGGTACATCTAATCCTATAATTAACATGCTGGCTGATCTTTGCATTCTTACTAACAGGCTAAAAGGCAGTGATTAGAATAGGTGATAGCTTACCATAGTTGAAACCAAACGTCAGGTCGCCGACACGTTTGTATCGAACTAAACAAGCGCCATATAAAGTCTTCAAACTTGAACGGTGTTATGCAGTTAAATTGACTCACACTTTCCATGGACTTGAGATTTCATTTTACGATTTAATGGAACGGTGGAAGGTGTATTTCTCTTGTTTATACCTCAGGAACAGCGAGACAATAATCTATGGGCGAACCAATCATATTTAGGATAACGAGTCTCTGGTTTTGGCGCAAAATTCATTCACCCATTCGTCCAAATAGCGTTTGGGCATTTTAGTTTATGTCAGTTCGTAATGAAAACCATAAATCTAAATCCTTACCCTCATCATTAATTGTAAATCAATGTCTATATTCTTCAAACTGCTTTATAACCCTCATTTAGCCCTAGTAAGTAGGTAGACACCCTCAAGGTCACTTTAGCGTGGCTCAAAAGTCATCCATGAATTATAGTCACACCAGTGTGTGATACTCTGATGTTCGCCAAAAGTGCGTGCAAGCAAAAATACTTGAAACTCGCATATACGTAATTTCTCAAATTTGGGTGACAGTAGCACATCTTCCAATACCCTCAGAGGTTACAAAATTCGTGATGAAAAATGTTTTACTCAACTACTTATTATCTTTAAACTCCTCTTCCCCGAAGCAAAGTAGTTTCAAGAGGCGCCACATCCTGCATTACCAATCTGCAGGTCAGCCACCATTCTCGGCAGCGAATGGAAGACCGATGAAGCTCACCTCGATTTCTCAAAAACCTTTGGTAAGGTGAATAACACATGCCTTTTCACTAAGCTCAGGGTGTTAGGTATCAGCTCACCGTTAATAAAATAGTTTGAGTCATGTTGAAATACTAGGTATTCGAAAGTCACTGTATACTTTACATTTTCTCAGGCTACAGAATATCCTGTTACGTTCAATCCATAACCAAGTACTAGGAACTCTTCTCCCTTTGTTTGAGTTACTACTTTTCGCTGAAGGCAGTAGATCTTGGAGAGAAGTTTCAAACTTGGACTTTAAGTCAGGACTTTAGGAGGATCCAACTCCATGTCTAAGTTTGGAGAATAACGATGAAATAACTTTCAAGACACATTAGTGTAAATTGTTGAGAGGTATATTAAAAAATACATGTTTAACTCAGGCAATTTCCTTCCAAACGTGTTCGGAGTTGATATAATTCTTGGAGTCATCGCACCCCGATGTCCAAGATCTTGAGTCAACCGCAAGAAAACGCCTCTAGAAGAAACCTCGCGATGGTTACATTGAGGAACATTTTTGACAGTTTCGGCAGCAGGAATGTTTGCTGCATTTTTAGCAGATTAATTCAACCCCTATTTGGAGTATGAAAGTGTAGCGCGTCTCCCTTTACTCCCAAAATTGATAACGTATCCAAAGTTGAAGTACGAAATCAGTCAGGGGTTTTAAATTTAAACTTTATTATGGATGTTTACTCAATAAAGTGTAAGTCACCGAATGGCGATCTTTAAATAATGTTTAGCATCCTAAACACTTCTGTGCATCAGTTAACCACCTACGCGAGCTCAATCCATAAGCAAACCACAGATATAGTACCAAGAATGACATAGCAAGGTGGACTGTGTATGTAAATTTTGCCCCTTACTGTTGGTCAAATTCCAGGATTTACTGTCAGCTCACGTCGTTCAAGCAACCTTTCCAGAGTCCTTGAAGAGAAAACTTGACATATCTACAACACCATCTTGTTATAGTTTACTAATATCTCTATTTTGTTCACCGGATAAACGTAGGTCTCTATCTAGAGTCATTTTTGATACGTTAATATTGAAAATGAAGCCAGCGAAGCAAAAGCTTCTAGATCACCAGCGTAGATAGTCTGTGTCTAATGGTAGAGGGCTTGCTCGGTTTAAATGAAAATGATGTGAACAACTATTTGACTTTGAAGTTACACCTCACATTCGGCATCTAACGTGGATTTCCCTTTCGCCGTACCAAGTTACTATGGCTGCTTTGAAGACCGTATGACACAAAAGACGTTATTACAGAAATATATAAGAGTACGTACAAGAAAGAGAATACGACAACCACCGCATGGGTCAAATCATAGCGTATGATTAATTGATGTGCGTTAGCTGTTCTTGATCTTGAGAAGAATCAGTCAACCACTGGACATTTAGTGACCCGACTGTCAGATGGTTTAGATGGTGGTCAGTGAGATTTCTTTGTGCCTACAAGCTTTTTTATTTATCCACTTAACTGACAACAGAGAATATATAAAATCCATTTGAACACTTAAATTTAAATTGTAATTCGCGTTTTCTATCGAAAAATTATTAGAAAGTTCTAATAATGTTTCATGAAAAGTTAATCCTAAGTCTTACACACTTTTCTGCAATTTAGTGGAGTACGTATGATACGTAGAAAAATCCTTTCGAAACTGAAACAAACGGACCACATTACCTCACTGTGTAGAATACCCAAGCAATCTAAGTTACACTCAATTTGTTGACGACTGGTGTTGGTCATTTGCTCCTCCGTCACGACATTTCTCCGGCTGCAGAGGTTGCGTCCACACTGCGTCAGGAAACAATTCTGTTCTGGGCTTGTTGAGCGCAGCCTACCTAAGCTACGAATGTTCTGCTATCCTGCGTTCGACCACTAATGCTTGTAGAGGACTGTTGTTATCTGGTCACGACGCTGTATTACTAGCATTGATGTCTGGAAATATCATAGATTCCATTAGTGTCGCCATTTTTAGACATATATTTACGTGACTTGACAAGAATATCATCCCAGAGACTTAAATATTGTAAGATCCATTTTGAATGTTTTGTGTATGAAAATTCCTCCATATAAACACTTGCAGTTCGTTCCTGTTGATTCCTTTGGTTGTACATTTTGTTAGTCTTTTTGATTCCATTTGATCCGGTAATATTTGTATTTTACTACAGTTCTTATTTTGCCTACGCCTTCGGTAAGTTTTCATGTTTCTTCCTGAACTGCACTTATGTTGTTTTATTTGATACTTAGTCCAGCGGCAACCATTTTGGTTTGTTCCTCCTTTTGATTATTTTCCTTGTACTGACTGGAATTGTGCATTTTTGATTGTGAATTGATGCACTCTTTCAGAATTGGGATTGTTATAAAGCAACCAAATATTATTTCCTGTAAGAATATGTACGTGGTCTATCCAGACAGGATAAAATAACATTTATTTGTTGTGATTGGTAATTTTCTCTCATCCTTTATTAACTTCCTCATTTATTGTAATTTAGAATTGATTAATTGAACAATTATTGGTTGGATATCTGGGTGGTCATACTTGTTTAGGTAACAATGTACATTTAGATTTACGAGGAATTTTAGAATCGTCAATTTGCCCAGTCACATTGTTTTGGGTTCGACCGGATAAGGGAGCGTATCTAACCTGTCGGGCTCACCAATTATGGTCTACTATGGAACTAGTACTGCTCTAATAATGGAGGGACCACGCCTGCAAGGCCAAGCCATGCCATTCGATCAACTTTAATCAGTTCAACTCGTTGTTCCCGCCTTTTGCATCGTTCGGTATTTCTCTGCGTTAAATATTGAATATCTATTTTCCTAGTCGTTTCGTGTTCAGCTTTGAGGATTGTGTGGTTATGGTCCAATGCCACTACAAACACACCTAGACAGCTATTCTTCAGTCCAAACCTTAGTTTGGATCTTACACATATCATGCATCATCCATTGATGTTGGGGTAGCGTGATGGATTTAAAATATAGTGCCATGAAATGGAATAATAATGTATATGGTAAGCAACTCTCAGTCCAGCTAATTACGCTGGAAGTGATGCATAAGCTTCATCAGCATTTTTATCAGAACTCATTGGTATAATGAAGGTAACTTAAATATAAATTTTGGAAGAACTCTATCAATGCACACGGTCAGTGAGCAATTAACGGAACTCTATTCATTGGTACCAAAGCCTGTGAATCCTCGTCTCAGGCATGCTTACACGCTAAGTGAACAGTCTAAAGGGAGAAGAGAACTTTCAAGCTTTTGCAACTGAATACTACAGAAACTAAAGTCGAACAGAGGGAGCACAGCATGTATACTGTGTCAGTTTTACTGGATACACCCCTGGCTAAAGAGGCTCAGTCGTGCATCCCCTCGAAATCACAACCGAGTAAGCTTTGCTGTGCAACTACCACAACCACCAGTCAGACGAAAATTCATACACTCTGATACTTTCGCCGTTATTTAAATACATCTTCACACCTGTTGATTCCCAATTCCTGGTACGATTGGGTTTTTGATCCTTGCATAAAAGAGAATTCAGGCTGTAGCATTGCTGAATACTGCATAACCGTGACATCTTGAGCCCAACTCACTTAAATTTCTGCGGTTCCTGTACTCAGGTTAAATGATATATCGATTGCGACCCCAGAAAAACAGAGTCGATACAACGAATAAATAAATCGGTAACATCAATCCGGAGACCAAAGACCGGATATTGTGATAAGCCACTGATCAATTGAGGTAAAAAGACAAGACTAGAGGGACTCCAAAGAATAAACACATCAAAATATCGGTGAAGAATACGCGGAAGAAAACAAGTGTTACTATCATGGATGTTTGCTGGTGGTTGAAGTGTATGGTGATACTGTAGTGGCATTGGGCCTTAACACGAGACAATTCGGGAAGTAAACATTCAACATTTAAGTCGGAGAAAAACCCAAAGACGGAAAAAGCGGGAACAACGAATAGAATTCGAGTTGATCGGATGGCATGACTCGGCCTTGCAGGCGTGGTCCCTGTGGAATGTTGCCTTAAATAATAATATAAATATATTGTTTTATCTCTAGCCTAAGCTTTTTCTCTATCATGTATTGGTAATTGTTGAGATGCAGTGAGTTGGTGCAGACGATGAAGTAAACTTCACGTAAGACCTTATAGATTAGGTAGTTGCATCATGACAAATTTACAATTTTAGGATTAGGTCTATTATTAGAGCAATACTATTAACGAAGTAGACCATGATTCTACAATACTTCTAAGGAGGATAGAAACCCTGAAATTTATTTCTATGGATCTTTTCATTCGGCGTCTGTTTGATCGTACGACTTGTTTTTATTGTATTTGGTTCGTTCTGAATTAA